AAAATACAAGTGTTTAACCTGTATATCCTTCTTCCCAGTACTTGGCCTCACAAAATAATAGCTCTTCTGATGGTGGTAATATGTTTTTACAAGAATACCGATCTCCTCAGTTCTCTCATTATCCTGGAATGATGATGATTGGTTCAAATATGCAAAGAGAAAGAGGCAGAGGTCGAGGCTATTTTCGACCTAAACTCATCTGCCAAGTATGTGGGAAGACTGGTCATTCTGCTCTCCAATGTTATCACAAGTTTAATCATGAGTACCAAGGTCATGCTAGCTCCATTCCTGTTAATCCAGTCAATGCCACTATTCCCAGTTATACTCCGAATTATACTGATGCTTCAACTCAAGCACTAATGGCAGCAAGAGTCATGCCTACTCAGTCTTTCTCACCCTATGGATCTCAGTCTCAGTCTAATCACAGCTCCACATTTAATTTTCGCTCACAACCACCTCAGTCAAACTCTGCTCAGTTTCAACCATCTTTTACCTCAGTTGGTGCCTCAGCTCAACATTATGTTTCACCTCAACCACAACAATATCATGTGCCTCGATCATCATCCCTAACAACTCTAGTGACTGGTGAAGGAGGTTTTTCAAATTTAGCAGTCACAGGCTTCTCTGAGCAACAAAGCTCTTTTGTTTCTGCTACTCCTCACACTCTAAACGATCAGACCTGGTTTGTAGACTCTGGAGCTACAAATCATATGACAGCAGATTCTCAGAATATGCTGCTTCACTCAGCTTATCAGGGAGGCACTCAAGTGCAGGTTGGTAATGGACACACAGTTCCCATCACACATACAGGTATTAATTTTATACCTTCTGCATTTTCTTCTAAAGTGTTGAATTTGAGAAATATGCTGTGTGTTCCTAATATAGCCAAAAATCTCTTGAGCATTTCACAAATAACAAAGGATAATGATGTTATTGTTGAATTTCATGCTGCACATTGCTTTATAAAGGACAAAACAACTAAAGACATACTTCTCCAAGGGAGCCTGAAAGATGGGCTGTATCAGTTGCATGTTTCTATGCCATCTTCTGAATCTCTTGAAGCAGTTAGGTCTCCTACGATTTCCTTCCCTGCAATCCAAGATTTCTGTCCTCAACTTAATGTAACAGCAAATAAAGCTTCAGTTTCATAAGCTGAATCTTCTAGTTCTACTTCTGATTTGGTGAATAATTGTACGTCTATGAGTCCTGTACTGAATTCAAAACTTGGTACTACTTTGTTATGGCATGCTAGGTTAGGCCATCCTCAAGAGAAGAGCTTGAGAGTTGTGTTGAATAAACTGAATGTATCTGGTTATTTTGGCAATAAAACACCTTTTTATGAGGCTTGTCAATATGGTAAAAATGCAACAAGCACAATTTCCTACATCTCACTCTCATTCACAAGCTCCCCTTGAGTTAGTTTCCTCTGATTTATGGGGACCTGCCCCTGTTAAATCCTCCGAAGGATTTCAATACTATATCATATTTGTGGATGATTATAGTAGGTTTATGTGGATATACCCATTAAAAGCCAAGTCTGAAGCATTTCCTATCTTTACAAAATTTCATTGTTTAGTTGAAAAACAGTTGAACCATAAGATTAAGTGTTTGCAAACAGATTGGGGAGGTGAGTTTAGGACATTTTCAAAATACCTTGATCAATATGGCATACTCTTTAGACATACATGCCCTTATCTACACCAGCAAAATGGTAGGGTAGAGAGGAAACATAGAGCTATTACTGAATTTGGATTAGCACTTCTTGCACATGCAGCTATGCCACTTTGTTTCTGGTGGCAGTCCTTCAGTACTGCTGTATACTTGTTGAATAGACTGCCGTCAGCTCCTCTTAATTATGCAGTTCCATTTACAATGCTATTTGGTCAAGAACCAAATTACAATGAACTCAAGGTGTTTGGCTGCTGTTGTTATCCCTTCATCAGACCTTACCAGAAACGAAAGTTTTCTTACCACACTGAGAAGTGTGTATTTCTGGGCTACAGCCTTGTTCACAAAGACTATAAATGTATGTCTTCATCAGGTAAGTTGTATATTGTTAAGCAAGCAAAATTTAATGAATGTGACTTTCCTTTTAAGACTGATTTCAAGAATGTCTCATGTGAAGATAGTGAAGTTGCTGGTTTAACTAATGCTCCTATTTTCCAAAGCTCATGGCAGATTCCAACTTGTTCTGTCAATTTTTTAGATTCCATAATCACAAGTTTAGTTGAGGTTTGTGCAAAACCAACTCTTGATCATCATTCTACAGTTCAACCAGCAGAATTCGTATCTGTAGCTCAACAAAATGTGTCACCAGCAGCATCTCGTTCAGGTCCCAAGTCTGAGATTTTGCTTCCTTGCTCTGAATTCAATCATCAGTCTGCTGTGCCACAAAGAAATCAGTCTTGCTCTGAGTTCAACAATCAGTCTATTGTGCCACAACAACATCAGTCTGATACAGCAGCATCTCTTTCAGGTCCCAGGTCACAACGAAATTTGTCTGAGATTTTGCCATCTTGCTCTGAATTTAATCATCAGTCTGCTGTGCCACAAAGAAATCAGCCTTGCTCTGAGTTCAAAAATCAGTCTGTTGTGCCACAAAGACATCAATCTGATATGATATCATCTTGCTCTGATTTCAACATCCCTTCCTTGCATATTGATCAACCATCTGACAGATGCACAACACCTACAACATACAGATCTTCTTCTAAGTGTCCAGGAATTCAGTTAGAAGTTGATTTATGCTTTCCTAAGTCACAACTCCAGAATACTCAGAATACTCATCTGATGGTGACCAGGTCCAAGAGCAGCTTGAATTCATCTAACCTCTGTGCTTATTTATCCACTCAGACAGTCTTAGTAGAGCCCAAATCTGCAACTGAGGCTTTAAACACACCAGAATGGAAAGATGCCATGCTGACAGAATACAATGCACTTATGAACAATCAGACTTGGGAACTGGTACCTTGCATGCCTGGAATGAACATAGTAAGCAGCAAATGGGTGTTCAAAACCAAACTAAATTCTGATGGATCCTTGCAAAGGTATAAAGCAAGACTTGTTGCGAAAGGATTCCAACAAACACCAGGCCTAGACTATTTTGAGACTTTCTCCCCTGTTATCAAAGCTGCCACCATAAGAGTTATGTTGTCCTTGGCAGTTCACAATCAATGGGATATTCAACAAATAGATATCAACAACACATTTCTTAATGGCGAACTAATTGAGACTGTCTACATGTACCAACCAGAAGGCTTTGCTGATCCAAAATTACCAAAACATGTTTGTAAGCTACATAAAGCTTTGTATGGCTTAAAACAAGCTCCTAGAGCTTGGTTTGACAAGTTAAAAGGTGTCTTGTTATCTTGGGGATTTGAGAACTCCACCTCTGACGTCAGCTTGTTTTATTACAAAAGAGAAGCTCAAGTCATCTATCTACTAGTGTATGTAGATGATATCCTTCTCACTGGGAATGATAATCATCTTATTAAGCAGATTGTGACAGATTTGAATCGAAAATTTGCTCGCAAGACTTTGGGGTCCCTCAACTACTTTCTTGGCTTTGAAGTGACTCGTAATAATACATCATTGCTTCTAACTCAGACCAGATATGCTCGTGAGCTCCTACACAAAGCTGGCATGGCAGATTCAAAGCCTTGTCAAACTCCTATGGCTCTCGGAACAAAACTCAGCAAAGAGGATGGTGAATTATTTGATCAACCCTCTCTTTATAGGAAGATTGTGGGCAGTCTACAATACTTAACTTTGTCCAGACCAGATATCGCTTTTGTTGTTAATAAACTTAGTCAGTTTCTGCAGACTCCCATGGTTGCTCACTGGTCTGCCTGTAAGAGAGTACTTCGGTACATTCAAGGAACCATCCATCATGGACTGTTGTTCACCAAAGATGACAGATTTGTGCTAGAAGGTTATGCTGATGCAGACTGGGCCAGTGACACTAACGATAGAAAATCAACGAGTGGGTATGGAATATTTCTTGGAGGTAATTTGATCCAGTGGAGTTCAAGGAAGCAAAAGGTTGTATCTCTGTCATCTACTGAAGCCGAATATAGGTCCTTGTGTCAAGCTGCCACTGAAATGGTTTGGATTCAAAATTTATTCACATAGCTTGGAATTGAAAACACAGTCACGCCAGTTCTGTGGTGTGACAACATGAGTGCAGGGGCTTTGTCATCAAACCCTGTCTTCCACGCAAGAACGAAACACATTGAGATAGATGTGCATTACGTCCGAGAGTTGGTTGCTGATAAACGAGTCAGTGTACAATATGTGGGTACTGAGTATCAGCTGGCAGATATACTAACCAAACCCTTGTCTGGACATAGGTTTCAGTGGCTAAGGGAAAAATTAAATGTTGCAGAGCCATTAGAAGGAAAAGACTAGTGCAGATGTGCAGATTTTAGTGTACAGTTCTTCAATCACTTGTGCAAAACTGCAGTTTAGAAAGAAAGAGAGTGAAGAAAGAAAGTCAAGAAACGATTACGATAAAGAAAGCGTTTGAAGATAAGAATAGTTTAGGAGAAATAGAGAATGTTTGGTTTATGGGGGAATATTAGAATAGAGGACAAATGTGGAATTAGCTATTATGAAAAACGATGTCGTTTAGTGTTCATGCAATTTGTGTGTGCTTAAATACTTATCACGTGTACTAAAAAGTTAGTTAGAAAAAGTTTATCAAAAAGTTCAGTTTTACGTCTTCTCTGTTTTCTCTCTGCATTTCTTGTTTCTGGTTCTTGATTTTGATTCAAGAGATTTCTCTTTCAGTCTTTCAATTAGAGATGACATAACTACACTTTATATAGATGACTTTATATAAAGTTTTTGTAATTGCAATATTACTCCTCTTGATAAGATTGTAATAGTGTCATCCTGTGAACTTCGAGCATGGAAAAAACCAAAACTTCTACTATAAAAAGACCTATGTTCACTTGTCCCCAATTCAAACAGAAGCAAGATAATAATTAGTAAGCAAGATCATGGCCAAGACTGTTAAAGCCATCCAGTTTTTTGCACTCTTCTTAATTTTCGTCCTAATTGCAACTGGGGTGAGTGACGTGAGTTGTTTTGTATACATATATACTTCAAATACTGTTGTTGTTTTTTTCTTACTTTGTTTGATTGGATCGATGCAGGGACGATGGCAGTGTTGGAGTTGTCGACTACTTCAGCATTAATGGGTAACGGAGACGCACGCAGGGGTCCCTAGTGAGCGGGTGGGGGTCACGGGGGTAGCGCCCCCAAGCCCGTAGGCGGTTTTGGGTTTTTCCATATATAACCGCTGTAGGATTTCCTTTAAGTTACTAATTCCTTATTGGGTTGGGCTTAGGAATAGGAGTCCTTGTAAAACTAGGTTTAATTTCTTAAACCTAGTATATAAACATACTTTTCTCTTGTTATGTGTGTGAGAGCAATTCATTCATTATAAACGAGAGAGGTGAAACATATTACAATAATATTGACTCAGCTGGATGAAGCCCACATTGGGTGAACCAGGATAAATTGCGCGTATTATTTTCTTTGTTGACTGTTTGATTTGTTTTACTATTATATTTTGTTTCTGTTGTTGTCTCTATTTTATTCAGGCAGAAGTGCAAGAAAATCTTTGTGAGAGGGCTAGCCAAACATGGTCTGGGAAGTGCGGCAATACTGACCATTGTAACAATCAATGCAAGCAATGGGAGGATGCAAGGAGTGGAGCTTGTCATAAAAGAGGTGGCAATTGGAAATGCTTCTGCTACTTCAATTGTCCTCTCGACAAACATAATTAATAAATTATACCCTTCTTGCTTAGGGTTGCTCAAACTTCTTTTTCGTAGTATAAAATAAGCGAGCTGGCTAGCTTGCTAATTAAGTGTTTCTCTGTTGAAACACCGGCTGTGGTTGTTAATTAATTATGTACGTTCATCATCAAAGTGTTCTAAATGAAATGCTTTATGATTCATATATATATAATATTACTTGTTTACTATGCTTCCTAGTAGTAGTCACTCTTTTTATCCACTGAAACCCAAGATCATTCTGATGATAAATCTGATTTCAAGAGTATATTAAGATCTGCGTATTTAAGCTGATGATAGAGTCTTTGGACGTTACAAAGTTTTATATTATGGTTCAAGGATTCACAAAATTAATGACTTTAAACCATATACATATTTAGAAACTATATAATGTTATTTCGCTCCATTATACAATATTAAATAAAGTGATGAAAAATGAGCCCAATATCGCAACTGGACAGTTCTCACGTGCATATACGAACTTCAGAATGTTTATATTTGATGTTTTGACTAGCGTTGTGTTAACGATAAACTCATAAAACGACACATAAATTTCTGAATTCCGATATGGAGGCAAGCAGACAGGCCAGCTGCTTCTGCAAAACGTGATGAGAAGTTGAGAACCGTCCACTGAGTAAATACGTGTCCACGCATGCATGATATGGTTTTAATCTGTCCAAATCTTGATATTAATTTGAAGATGTAAACTTTTTTTCTTTTTTGTTATCTAGGGTGTTTGGGTCAATTTACGCGTATCTCAACTAATATCTGAGACCATGAAGTTAACAGTTAGATATGTCTCCAGTGATTACCTTTTATTAGTGATTATAAGGATTTAAACTTAAAATCTTTTAAATAATAAATCCAAAATTATCAAACGAACTTTGAACTTGACTATTGATGTGACGAATCTTAGTATTGCTTAGCATGGATATATTGACCAAATTAATCGTGTTCATAGTCTGGTTTCGATCTATCCAAAAAAGGAAACCCACATCTTCAAAGTGAGGAACCTGATTAATAAACTGACAAAAGGCCTGTACTAGTGGCAGAACAATGTCAACCATTCACAGGAAATTTGGACGTTACTGCTTAAAAATATCCAAATATACCTTCCTTTATCCTTTAGCTTGCTAGCATCCAAAATATTTGATTGTGTATATACCATTCACCTAAGTGAAATCATTTAAAGCTGAGACTCGATCGATCGGCCTATAATTGTTGATCAATTTATGAACTATGGAATAATCTTTTTAGCAACGGCCACCACATGGCAAAATCTTTTCCGCAGCCATGAGATTTTTGTAGAAACCCCGATCCATAGTGATCAACGGGGGCCCCCTTTTGAAACTGCAGAAATATGTGGCGATACGCTTAACTTTTAGTTGAAAAATGAGGCGATAAGTATATAATAGAACATTAATTATAATAATTAACCTTATCACCCTACTCGTCCTTATCTCAAATTTACGTAAGGAAATACTGATGTATTTGACAGAAATTTTAAGGCACAAGTAGATCGAATATTAATTTATATGTCACTTATATGAACATGCATTTTTTTTTTTTTTTAATAATTGAGGTGTTCGAAACAATTTATATACCTTAATTAGTCCTCAATAATCCATTGTCATAGCCCTAGGTAAATCATGGACAAATATAATATCTTTGTGTTTAATGAAGGAATCGAACATGAAACTGTGAGTTGAACCATTTGTAGTCCCCTTGGTTCGCGCTTACCGCTTAACTACCTATGGGCGGGTAATATGCATGTTTATATACTTGATAATTTAGAAGTAGAACACTGACATTTATGAACATTTAAAAACAAGTTAATGTTAATATTCTTCACTCACGAGACAGATCAATTACTTATATCACTTTTATGTTATAGACAATTACGTATATTATACTGTATAAGACAAAGACTTGAATGATAATTTCCTCTTCGATCTCTTTCTTTGTGTTTGTCTCAGCTTTTTTTTTTTTTTCTTCCTTACCATATCTTCTCAGTTCCTTCTTCTTGTTTCGTGGTCTATAGTTGGATAGCATGGATTGACTAAAGTTTTAAGTTTTTTCCTATCAAACTTGACTTATAAACATCATTTTGCATGTTAACTCCTTCAAAATGCTGCCACCTCAAAGACACATTAGATGAAATTTTGTGCCAAATGGATTAAAAGCTGTCGCTTGCAGCTTAGTCGCATGAGAAACCAAATCAAATTGGCTACACGTGGTTTTAGAGACTTCTTATCAATTGTTACAGTACTGATGTCAGCTTTGGAGATGGATTTTTCAATTCTCTCCCTCATAATTCCTCAATATATGTGACTTTTGGACCTCGTATATAGTTTGCATTGTGTTCTTTCTGACATTCTTGTAATAGTTCTTGGAGATTATTGGAATTGGTTCATCGATCCAATCAACTAAATTGTTGTCATATACGTCGACTATCACTATCCCTTAGTTTATTACTTCACCAAATCGTATCTCAGTGTACAACTTCAACACGAAAGCCAGCAACTTCTATAAATAGACCTAATCACGCCTTTCAATTAGCACAAACACAGAGCAAATAGCTAACAGTTAAGTTAAAGCATGGCCAAGACTCTTAAATCTCTCCCCTTTTTTGCCCTCTTCTTCATCCTCATCCTCGTCGCAAACTGGGGTAATTTGTTCTTTAATAACGTGTGCATGCATACATACTTATACATTGTTCTTATAATTTAGTGTCTAGTTACTCATATAATATTGCAATTTAAACAAAAGGAATAACCAAGCAATGTCTTATTTATTTGATTGGATGCAGAGATGATGCCGGTGGAAGGAAAACTTTGTGAGAAGGCAAGTCAAACATGGTCAGGGAAATGCGGCAACACGGGGCATTGCGACAACCAGTGCAAGAAATGGGAGGATGCTAGGAATGGAGCTTGTCATTTGAGGGATGGGAATTGGAAATGCTTCTGCTACTTTAATTGTCCTCTCGACAAACATAATTAATTGATGCCCTTATGGCCTAAGGGCGTCGCTTCAACTTCTTGGGAGGAGTGGCTGTACAAACCTTAATCATTCGATTGCTTGCGATTGGCATGGTTAGCAGAGTCGAGTTTGAAGGTTTTTAGTAAGTAATGATTAGGAAAGAAAATTGTGATGGAGTAGGGTTACAACGATGCTAGAATCGAAAATTGAATATAAATTTAGGTAATAAAATAGTATTTTAAAAATGTATGGTGAAAAAAATGTCATTAAAATATTATTTGGGTGCAAAAAAATCGTCTCCTCGTAGGGTAATTACATGTGCAGAGCAACTTGCATGCAGATTTGCAGTCTGTTGAAGCAAGCTGCAGAGCACCTTGCATGCAGTTAATGCAAGTTGATAATCAACTTGCATACGGCAGAAGAAGTGTGATCATCTGTTATGATCGAATGGTGTATAATGAATCTCTTGAATTTTGGTTAATGGTGTAGATTTAAAGTTAACTAGAGTTTGTAACATACCCTCGCGTGTCTATAAGACACGAGTGTGCCTTAGTTTTATTCACTGAAAAGAGATGGCATAAGATAAACTTTTTGCTTCCGGAATCTTTATTTTTGCTCTGCTCATAATTCCAAATTATTTGTGGCTTAGCTTCTTTCACCGACAATCATAATGCAAAAAGATATCGCTAATGAAAAAAGAATCAACCAAAACTTTACTATAAAAAGACCTACGTTCACCTTTCCCCAATTCAAACAGAAGCAAGATAATAAGCAATATCATGGCCAAGACTGTTAAATCTATCCAGTTTTTTGCACTCTTCTTCATCCTCGTCCTAATTGCAAACAGAGGTGAGTAACGTGAGTTATTTTGTATACATATATACTTAAAATATTGTTGTTGTTTTTTTTTTTTTTTTTTCTTACTTTGTTTGATGGGATGCAGAGACGACGATGGCGGAAGTGCAAGAAAATCTTTGTGAGAAGGCTAGCCAAACATGGTCTGGGTACTGCGGCAACACTGGCAATTGTAACAATCAATGCAAGCAACGGGAGGATGCAAGAAGTGGAGCTTGTCATCAAAGAGGTTTCAGTAGGAAATGCTTCTGCTACTTCAATTGTCCACTCGACGAACATAATTAATAAATTATACCCTTCTTGCTTAGGGTTGCTCAGACTTCTTGTTCGGAGTATAAAATAAGCGAGCTGGCTAGCTTGCTAATAAAGTGTTTCTACGTTGAAACACGGACTGTCGTCTGATTATTAGCTGATTAATTCTGTACCTTCATCATCAAAGTATTCTAAATGATATATAAAATATTACTCGGTTACTATGCTACCTGGTAGTCACTCTTTTTATCCATTAAAATGCAAGATCAGTCTGATGATAAATCTGATTTCAAGAGTATTAGATCTTCGTATTTAAACTGATGATAGAGTCTTTGGACGTTACAAAGTTTTATATTATGGTTCAAGGATTCACAAAATCCAAAAAGAGTTAAATTGTGAAATTCTATGCATGCAAAAATGTTCTAATTATCGTTCACAACTATTTAAATAGCAATTACAAGATCAAATTGATGAAAAATGAGTCCAAATATCGCAACTGGAAAAGAACAAATTGTTGTGGTAACTCGGTAATTGTATTAAAGAATAAAGATTTACAGTCTAAAGTCTAACCCTTGACAAGACCAAGAGGCGCGCTACACAAAACGAGCGAAAGGAAAGAAAAGCAATCCTTAAGCACAAAACGGAGCAGCTAGCCAAACGGACAAGAAGAACATCCTTGGCTGCTGCAGAAACAAAAAAAACCATACCCAAACAATAATGGGTTGGCCGAGTGGTAAAGATTTAAAGCCAAAGGGTGGTAAAGATTTAAAGCCAAAGGGTTTGCTCCTTTATGGTCTTAGATTCGAATCACAAGAACGATTATTAATATTGTTGGTATGAACAGTAGGATTTGCCCTATTTCAAACGGTTACTAATATTGTTGGCATGGACGGTAAGATTTGTTCTATTTTAAAAGCTTTGTTCGGAGTTAAGAGACTTGTCGAGATACACATAAGTTAGCTCAAACACTCCCGTAACCAAAAAAAAAAAAAATACCCTTTACACGGACAGCAAAGGACTAACTAGACGCAGCACTATACAGCTGCTGCCCACACTAACTTGCAAAACCAGACTACAAAAACCAGCAAGAGAAGGCAGCCGCCGGCTGAAAGAGACTGCACCACCACCTCAGTTAGCAATTAGAAGGAAACACCAACTTCCAAATCTTGATATTAATTTGAAGATGTAAAATTGATGTGACGACTCTAGTATAGCTTGGGCACCTTTTTTTGACTAAATTGTATGGTTTCGATCTGTCCAAAAAATGAAACCCACATCTATTCGGAACCCGATTCATAGAAAACTCGCAAAAGGGTTGTACTAGTGCAGAACAAATGAACAATGGCACCCACTCACGGGAAAGTTTGGACGTTACTGCTTAAAAATATCCAAACTTCCCTTCCTTTATCTGTTAGCTGGCTAGCATCCAAAGTATCTGATCGTGTATATAACATTCAACTAGTGAAATCATTTAAAGCTGAGACGCTGATCGATCGGCTTATAATTGTTGACTAATTTATGAATTGTGGATAAATCTTTTTACCAATGGCCACATGCATGGCAGCCATAGGCTATGCCATGGGAAAGTCTTTTCAAATTAATAATGTTAAAGTACTATTCTCAGTGGGGAAGGGTCGACTTTTCGACTTATGTCCCCATAATTCCAATTTTTTTTTGGCTTATCTTCACTCACGACAAAAACAATGTAAAAAGATATCCAGTTGCATTTTTTTTGTCAGAGAAAGTCTTTGATATATAAAAGGGAGAACGATTTACACCCATCTAAAGTTTACTATAAAGATAAATTAGTAAATTTGGAAAAGACAAACACATACCTTCAGACAAAATTGACAGAAAAGGCTAAAATATCTTTGGGAGTTTGATATTTAGTTTTTTATTAATTTATGGCTAATCAACTCGTTCAATTACATAAATACCTACAACATTATGTTGAATTATCGGTAATGCTATGGGTATTAATGAATTCTACAAACTGGTGTACTAATTTAAAACATAATACGAGTATCATGCGTATAGTATGGGTACTATGTATAATTTTAACAAAGGTTAGTACATTGGTTAGTAAAATCTGTTAGTACGTACAGTATTATTCGTTGAATTACATTATGCCACCAAGTTAGTATGAGTCAGTGAAATGACCAGTTTGTCTCTATACATCTGTGAAAAATGAGATGACAAATGACCAATTTATCCCTATTTTGATAGATAAATTTCAAAGTGAATATATAATGAAAGTCGTACAATAAAATTGCTTCTGTTTGTTTTTTAATTGGGATAGCTCATATTTTACAAATTTACCCACAGGTTAATTTAATCCGAATAGAAAGGACAAAACCAATTCAAATGGTTCTGTTATCTATAAACCAGTCTCAAGGAGTAAAACATGTAACAAAAAGTCATTAAGGTCAGCTTAACTAAGCAGCCAAGGGCCCCAGGGTTAAAGAAGTGGCTTCAATGGAGCCCTTGAAAAAGAAAAACACACTCATTACAACAGAAATAGAAAGATGAACATAAAGAAGTAGTTCACAGAAAGGGGAAAAAAATTGTCCACAACACAAAATCAGCCTTAACTGACAATTCCAATTGTTCAAGAGCAACCCCTTTGAACAAACAACACCTGTGATAATGCACTAATCGATGACAGACTTACCCAAAATTTTCAGAAAAATCTAAAAAAGCCGGCAACTAAACAACATCAATTAGGATAGCAACTTGGCAAATTATAACACAAACCGCTCAAATTAGGAATGCAGAATCCTAGTGACAAGACCAGCAAGCTTCTAAGCAAGCACACAAACAACCAATGCTGGTAACTATGGACAATATGTTATCACAACCAAAATGCAGAATCCTTCACTCTTTCATCATCAAATAGTTGGAGTCTAAAACCTTTCTTATTTACGAAATATCAAGTCAACGACTTTGTATAAGCATCTAATTTCAACTGCTAATGAACTTGACCCTCCAATGCCATGGGTTCTTGTACAAAGGTGGGTTCATCTTGCTCCCCAACTACTGGTTCCTCCTCTGCACCGAGCTGAGTTTCTTCTGAACCAGTTGCAGGAGCTGACTCCTGGATGAGAGAATCAGCTTCCTTTGTTGCAGTCAAGGAAGTGGTATTTTCCTCATTTGCTGCTTTTGGTGATGTCATCTTTTCTTCCTTGCTGGAATTGTTTAAATTGCTCCTTTCAGAAGGCAGTTTAAGAAGGGACTTCCGTTGTGGCTTCTTCGATTGTAGAGGAGAAATTCCTTTGGCAGAGTTGCTCTGAGATGCTTTCCCATCCAGACTTAGTTGGCCTGGTCGAGTGTTGGGGTTACCATTTCTATCTGTTTCCACGGAAGTCAAGGTCTTCTTCCTACGAAGTTTGGGAGATTTGGCTCTTGTTGTTGGTATATCTACATCAAATTATATTAAGGTTAAGGAAAAAGCAATTACAATTGTCTTAATATCTCTCCGGCTACCTATAACCAGTAAACTGGCAAATCAATTCTGCTACACAACTGGAATGGTCACAGAGGGTGATTGGAAATAAAAACAATCAATTGTCTGAACTCAAATCATCAGATCAAGAATGAATTGAGCATGAACTGTGACAATATTAGGTTAGGGAACCAAACATGTGATCAAGATATATTTCCTGAATATATATACAAAAACTGAGGCAAAATAATTTAGAGATGAAGGTTGGGCTGCTTTCAACAACCTAAAAGTAAATTCATTAATCAGGAAAAAGAATAATTTGAGATGGGTGAAGTGCAAAGCACAGGCAAAGAAAAATAAAGTACTGTTCTCAGTTGGGATGCCGGGATGGATCGACTTTTCAACTCATATCCCCATAATTTCAATTTTTTTTTTTTTTTTTTTTTGGCTTATCTTCATTCACGACAAATAAAAGGTATCCAGTTGCATTTTATTTTTTTAAAGATAAAGTCTTTCATACAAAGTGATATATCAAAATTATCAATGGCCACATGCATGGCAGCCGTAGGCTACACCAAGGTAAAGTCTTTTTCAATCAATAATGAAAGTATTGTAAAGCCAAAAACGGAGCCGTTTCACTTAAGTATATTCAAGCCAAAACGGGATCGTTTTGTTTAAGACCATTACCAAATTTCAGCCTTCAGATCAAGACAGATCCAAGGGCTGAGAATTACTAAAGCAGACATATATAAAGAAGAGCAACAGTGATAAAACGAAGAGAACGCGTTTTTGTTACTCTGTGTATTAGGGTTTGCAAAAGAGGGAAAAAACACTAGGGCTGGTTTGTTGCAGAATCTTTCTGGGTTAATCTGGGTTGATTAAGAGAAGGTTGTGTTTCCTTCTAGAGGCGGGTATTTGTCCTCTGTTTCTTGCAGATTATTGAGAGATTCTTGAGTGATTAGGCCTTGGTGGGTGTTAGTCTGAGTTTGGCAGATTTGTAGTCTTGTCCTTCTTGTAATAGTTGAATATCTTCTTAGTGCTGTGGGCTTCCATATTTCGGAGCTCAACGTGGATGTAGTCTATCCAAGATTGGAGAGACGAACCATGGTAAAATTGTGCCTTGTGTTGTGTGTGTGTGATTTCTTTTGATCTTTAACCTTGTGTGTGCTGTTTGTGTTGCGAATTTGCTTATTAGACTTAGGTTATAACAAATAATGTTAAAGTACTGTTCTCAGTGGGGAAGGATCGACTTTTCAACTTATGTTTCCATAATTCTAATTTTTTTTTCTTATCTTCATTCACGTAATGTTAAAGTACTGTTCACAGTGGGGCAGGATCGACTTTTCAACTTATGTCTCCATAATTCCAATTTTTTTTTTTTTTCTTTATTCTTATTTCTTCATTCACAACAAAAACATGTAAAGATATCCAGTTGCTTTTTTTTTTTTTTTTTTTTTGAGAAAGTCTTTATATAAAGTGATATATCAAATTACCAATGGCCACATGCATGCAGCCATAGGCTATGCCTGGTAAGTCTTTTCCAATTAATATTTAAAGTACTGTTTTCAGTAGGGGGATCGACTTTTCAACTTATGTCTTCATAATTCCATTTTTTTTTTGGCTTATCTTCATTTACGACAAAACATGTAAAAAGATATCCTTGAATTTTTTATAGAGAATAATACTGCATTTAAACCCTTTTATGAAGTTTCGTATAAAGTATATATCAAAATATAATTAGGAGAATTTATAAAAAATCAATTTATAAATACAAAGAAATTATAGTAAGTAATATGCCACACTGAATAGTATTATATCACTTTATGTTGATTGTCAAACTTCCACTAAAGATGATGATCTTGATCGTTTATATAGTAACAAGACACCTTTGTCATCTAAGACGTCTTTTTTGGACAAAACTGTGTAGAATTATCAAAAGTTCAACCTATGATCCAAATATAACCATCTGAAAACCCACTTACCATGTGATTAAGATAACATAACTACACTTTATATGATGACTTTATATAAAGTTTTGTAATTGTAATATTACTCTCCTTGATAAGATTGTAAGTGTCATCCTGTCAACTTCGAACATGGAAACCCAAACTTCTACTATAAAAACCTATGTTCATCGTCCCCAATTCAAACAGAAGCAAGATAACAATTATAAGCAGATCATGGCCAAGACTGTTAAAGCTATCCAGTTTTTTGCACTCTTCTTACTTTTATTCGTCCTAATTGCAAACTGGGGTGACGTGATTTGTTTTGTATACATTGATTACTTCAAATACTGTTGTTGTTTTTTTTCTTACTTTGTTTGATTGGGATGATGGCAGTATTGAGTTGTCGACTACTTCAGTATTAATAGGTAACGAGACGCACGCGGGGGTCCCTGGTGAGAGCGGCGGGGTCCGCGGGGTAGCGCCCCCGAGCCCGTAGGCGGTTTTGGGCTTTTCATGTATAACCGCGTAGGATTCTTTTAAGTTACTAATTCCTTATTGGGTTTGCTTAGGAATAGGAATCCTTGTAAACTAGGTTTAATTTCTTAAACCTATTATATAAACATACTTTTCTCTGGTTATGTGTGTGAGAGCAATTCATTCATTGTAAAGGAGAGAGGTAGGCATATGCAATAATATTGACTCAGCTGGACGTACCCCACATGGGGTGAACCAGTAAATTACGCGTATTATTTTCTTTGTTTACTGTTTGATTTTTTTTACTATTATATTTTGTTTCTGTTGTTGTCTCTATTTTTTAGGGCGAAGTGCAAGAAAATCTTTGTGAGAGGGTTAGCCAAACATGGTCTGGGAAGTGCGGCAACACTGACCATTGTAACAATCAATGCAAGCAATGGGAGGATGCAAGGAGTGGAGCTTGTCATAAAAAGGTGGCAATTGAATGCTTCTGCTACTTCATTGTCCTCTCACAAACATATTAAAATTTATACCCTTCTTGCTTAGGGTTGCTCAAACTTCTTTTCATAGTTTAAAATGCGAGCTGGCTAGCTTGCTAATTAAGCGTTTCTCTTTGAACACCGGCTGTGGTTGTTATTAATTATGTACGTTCATCATCAAGTGTTCTAAATAAAATGCTTTATGATTCTATATATATAATATTACTTGTTTACTATGCTTCCTAGTAGTAGTCACTCTTTTTATCCACTGAAAACCCAAGATCATTCTGATGATAAATCTGTCAGGAGTATATTAAGATCTACGTATTTAAGCTGATCATAGAGTCTTTGGTTGGAAGTTAGAAAGTTTTATATTATGGTTCAAGGATTCAAAAAATTAATGACTTTAAACCATTTACATATTTAGAACCCTATAATATTATTCGCTCCATTATACAGTATTAAATAAGGTGATGAAAATGAGCCCCAATATCGCAACTGGAAAAGAACAAATTGTTCGAAAGAACATAATTGGAGTTCAATGTCGAAACAAGAAATAAAAAAATAAAAAACGTTATCTTCTACAAAAGATGTTCTATCAAGGCAATTGAGAAAAACCATCAACTCCGCCAAACCAGTGACAACTCTAGCCCAGCTGCCACCATTAACATCAGCAGATTTTGTGCTGTGCCTCTCATGATTCTAGGATCAGTTTTTTATTTTTTTATGTATACTGTTTTTATGTGATTGTAAATTTATTTTTAAGTTATGATGTAAATTTATTTTCAGTTATATATCTTGAATGCCTAAAATTAGGCCTCTCGGTTTGTATAAATATCAAGCCATGTAGAAAAAAGGGTGAGTTCAAAATACAAATCCATAGCAGTGTAACTTCTCTATATGTGCAGGAGAGCCAAACCTCTAACGAGTATCTTCCATTCTTGCTTTCTGCAACATGGCTGCCATCCCTGCATCTACCAACGATTCACCACCATCATCACCATTAATGCCGCAACCACCATCAACAAAAACTCACCCTACTATACCTTCCTCAGTGGAGGGCGCAATTTGAAGCACTGCTCACTGGTTATGATCTCATTGACTTTGTCACGGTGTAAAAAAATGCCCACCCATTGATGCTCGAACTCCGCTGTCTCCAAAGCCGAGAACTCCACTGGGTTCGCCAAGATAAACTCATCCTCCACGCCATTCTTGCTTCCACATCCACCATTACTCTTCCCCTTCTTGCTGCTATAAAACATCCCATGATGCTTGGACAGCACTTACCCTTTTATACCGGGCAAATCACGGACGCGTGCGATGCAACTCAAGGAGGTTTTGACCTTGAGCACTCGTGGAAATCGCACGTCACCGAGTTCCTTCAAGCAATCAAAGTGATTGCTGACGAACTCGCAATCATCGATCATCCCGTTTTGGATGATGATTAAACTATCTACATACTCAATGGCTTGGGCCCCAATTTAGAGAAATTGCGGCACCCATTCGTGCTCGTGAGACCTCTCTGAAATTTGAAGAACTACATGATCTTCTTGTAGGCCATGAGACTTATCTTCGCCGACTGGAGAATCAATCGGCAGCAACATTTGTTCCCACTGCAAATTACTCTCATCGACAAGGCGGTGCTCCTGGACAGCATAACCAAGCCCTAAGTTTTCCTCCAACAAGCCTCGTAGCAAACACGACATAATAAAAATGGGCCCTCCAATTCGGGCTACGAAATATAAGCAAGTGTCAATGGTGTGATCAAGTGGGTCACACGGCCAAAATTGCCCAAAATGCCTTCAGTCGATTCACTGCAACTGTGCAGCATCTTCCCATGCAAAAAATCAAAAGTGGCTAGTTGACTCTCGGCGGCATCTCACATATGACCACCGATCTCTCTAATCTGTCCATTAATTCTGAATATGATGGTACTGATGAGGTGGTAATTGGTGATGGATCAGGTTTGTCTGTATCCATATTGGTTCATTATCTCTTGCATCAACTAATCGTGTCTTTCATTTACGTGATACCCTTTGTGTTCCCACAATTAAAAAAACCTCATTTTGTTCTTCACTTTACCAAGCATAACAATGTTTATCTTGAATTTCTCCTACTTATTTTTTGGTGAAGGATCGATCCACGAGGGCGACACTACTCAAACGAATGTGAAGATGGATGTACCCATTTCCAGAGCATCTCACCCTACACACACTCCAAACTGTTGTTGCCTATGTTCATGAACGACTAACCGCCGATGGATGGCACAAAAGGCTTGGTCCATCCATCGTCAAAATTGTCCATCATTTAATTCATGCCTTTTCTTTACCAACCAATAGAATGGACATTTATCCTTTGTACTTCATGTTCTCAAATAAGCTCATTGTCAACCATTTCATTCTCATGGTCTCACTAGCACTACTCCCAGGGAATTGATTTACACAGATGTTTGGGGTCCATCTCATGAAATTGGTATTGATGGCTCAAAATACATGTATTTTTGTTGACCTTATACCAAAATATATTTGTGCTCTATCCTATGACTCTAAATCCAATGTTCAAAAAAATTTTCCGCAATTCCGAAATCTTATGGAAAATAAGTTTAACACAAAATAAATAGTCTATATTTTGATAAGGTGGGGAATATGTTGGACTCAAATCTTACCTTTCTGTTCATGGAGTTGGTCATTACACAACCGCTCCTCACACTCCCCAACAAAATGGTATGTCTGAAAGACGACATCGCCACCTGTTGAGACTGGTCTCACCTTACTCACGGATGCTCACATGCCTCTCTCATATTGGCCAACGCGTTTCAAACCGTTGCCTATCTCATTATATGAGATGCCCACCTCGATTTTGAACAATCAATCACCGTTGAAACATTGTTCAAACAAATCCCAAATACCGCAAGCTCAAACAATTTGGCTGCCTATGTTATCCAACTAGCCCTATACAAGCATAAACTTGAGCCCAGGCCCAACCATGCACATTCGTGGGTTACTCACTATCCCAAAATGCGTATCTCTGCCTTGAACCCAATACTGGAAAGATTTTTATCTCTCGGCATGTCATCTTCCACGAAGAATTTCCCTTTTCAGAAATCAAAACATGACATTTCAGTACCCATCTCACCTCACAGCAAATGCGAAGCCTCCTCTATACCGATATGTTGCCGCAAGTCATCTTGCCTTCCTCCAAACTTCTGAATCTCCAAGTGGGTACTGAATTCTCACCATTGTCTGCGAATGGGTCATCCCTGAACCGCCTCCTCTCCAGGTATAATCTCTCCTTCTCTACCTTGATTTCAAGCCAAATTTCTCCATTAGAAGTGCATGCACTTGCTGTTTCTGAGATAATATAGTGCGCACCTCACCGAATGACTACTAGATCCATGAATGACATTTAAAACCAAAAAATCGTTTGCAGTCACTAAGTATCCTCTTCCACTCTCCTTGGAACCCATGATGTAACTAAGCACTCACTGATTCCCGTGGCGTGATGCCATGTCCTCTGAGTTGACTGCGTTAATGCGTCACAATACATGGCAACTATACCACCTCCGAATGATTGTAATATGTTGGTTGAAAGTGGGTGTTTCGGATTAAGAGACATGCTGATGGATCTGTATATCGATTCAAGGCCAGGCTTGTGGCCAAAGGGTTCAATCAGAGACCAGGACTGGATTACAAAGAGACGTTTAGTCCTGTTGTAAAACCAGTCACCATACGCACTGTCTTAACCCTTGCTGTTATGCAAGGTTGGTCTCTAAGGCAATTAGATGTTAATAATGCCTTCCTTCATGGGCATCTTACTGAAAAGGTATATATGAAGCAACCACCTGGGTTCAAGAGTTCAGAAAAACCAAATCATGTTTGCTGCCTTAGAAAGGCAATATATGGACTAAAACAAGTACCTCGTGCTTGGTATTTTGCTCTCAAACAAGCACTGTTAGAAGTTGGTTTCGTCAATGCAAAATCCGACTCCTCTCTCTTTGTGTTTCATGATGGTTCCATACTTGCTTATTGCTTAGTATATGTTGTTGATTTGATTCTCACATGAAATAATTCGACATTTGTCGCAAGCATTATTAATCAACTTGGCCAGAAATTCTCCATCAAAGACTTGGGGTCCTTACACTTTTTCCTCTGTGTTGAGGTCATTCCTACTAAAGACGGCTTGTTTCTAACTCAGCATAAGTATATCAGAGATATACTAGCTAAAACAAGTATGGATGGAGCTAAAGATGTCACCACTCCTCTTTCTACCTCGGTTTCTCTAATGTTGGCAGATGGTTCGTCATCAGTTGATTCAACAGAATATCGAAGGGTGATTGGAGCATTGCAATATCTGTCCTTAACTCGACCTGATATAAGCTTCGCAGTGAATAAACTATCACAGTTTATGCATTGCCCAACACAGACCCATTGGACAGCCACTAAAAGATTGCTGCGTTACTTGAAGAACACCATTTTTTACGGCATCAACATTAGAAAAACATCAAACCCAGCACTCACATGTTTCTCGGATGCTGATTGGGCTGGTAGTTTAGATGATAGAAAATCAACTTCAGCTTATATCCTCTTCCTTGGTCATGCACCCATTTCATGGAGCTCCAAAAAGCAACGTGCCATTGCACGGTCATCAACAGAAGCTGAGTATAGGGCTTTAGCAACGGCTGCAGCAGAGTCCATGTGGCTGCTATCTCTGTTCCAAGAAATGAAGTTTAAATTACCACAACCACCTATACTCTTGTGTGATAATTTAGGTGCAACACAGCTAAGTTTTAATCCTGTCCAGCATTCAAGAATGAAGCACATCCAGATAGACATTCACTTTGTGCGAGATTTGGTTGAGCAAAAAATTCTTAATGTTCGACATGTTCACACTAATGACCAACTTGCAGATTTACTCACCAAGCCACTCTCAAGACAAAGGACGGCCTATTTACGAGACAAGATCGGCCTATCTGATGGTAGCCCGTTCTTGCGGGGGCGTATCAAGGCAATTGAAGAAAAACCAGTGACAACTCAAGCGCCAAACCAGTGACAACTCTAGCCCAGCTGCCACCATTAACATCAGCATATTTTGTGCTGTGCCTCTCATGATTCTAGGATCAGTTTTTTATTTTTTATGTAAATACTGTTTTTATTGTGATTGTAAATTTATTTTTCAGTTATGATTGTAAATTTATTTTTCAGTTATATATCTTTGAATGCCTAAAATTTGGCCTCTCGGGTTGTATAAATATACAGAGCATGAATAGAAATAAGGGTGAGTTCAAAATACAAATCCATAGCAGTGGAACTTCTCTATAGTATCTATATTTTTTCTAATATTCCTCTACTACCATAATGTATAAATTCCTATATGGCCACACACTGGACAGTTCTCACGTGCATATACGAACTTCAGAGTGCTTATATTTGATGTTTTGACTAGCGTTGTGTTGACGATAAACTCATAAAACGACACATAAATTTCTGAATTCCGATATGGAGGAAAGCAAACAGGCCAGCTGCTTCTGCAAAACGTGATGAGAAGTTGAGAACCGTCCACTGAGTAAATACGGGTCCACGCATGCATGATATGGTTTTAATCTGTCCAAATCTTGGTATTAATTTGAAGATGTAAACTTTATTTTTTTTTTTTTTATCAAAGGTATTTAGGTTAATTTAAGCATATCTCAACTAATCTTTAAAACAATAAAATTAATCGACAATATTCTTCAATGATTATCCTTTATTAATAATTATAAATATTCAAACTTAAAATCTTTTAAATAGTAAATCCAAAATTACCGAACGAACTGTGAACTTGACTATTGATGTGACAAATCTTAGTATTGCTTAGCATGGATATATTGACCAAATTAATCGTGTTCATAGTCTGGTTTCGATCTATCCAAAAAAGGAAACCCACATCTTCAAAGTTAGGAACCTGATTGATAAACTGACAAAAGGGCTGTACTATTGGCAGAACAATGTCAACCATTCACAGGAAATTTGGACGTTACTGCTTAAAAATATCCAAACTTCCCTTCCTTTATCTGTTTGCTGGCTAGCATCCAAAGTATCTGATCGTGTATATAACATTCAACTAGTGAAATCATTTAAAGCTGAGACCCTGATCGATCGGCTTATAATTGTTGACTAATTTATGAATTGTGGATAAATCTTTTTACCAATGGCTACATTCGTGGCAGCCATACTTTTTTTTTTTTTTTTTTTTTTGAAGAGAAAGTCTTTTATATAAAGTGATATATCAAAATTACCAATGGCCACATGCATGGCAGCCATAGGCTATGCCATGGTAAAGTCTTTTCCAATTAATAATTTAAAGTACTGTTTTCAGTAGGGAAGGATCGACTTTTCAACTTATGTCTTCATAATTCCAATTTTTTTTTGGCTTATCTTCATTTACGACAAAAACAATGTAAAAAGATATCCAGTTGAATTTTTTATAGAGAATAATACTGCATTTAAAACCTTTTATAGAAGTCTTTCGTATAAAGTAATATATCAAAATATAATTAGGAGAATTTATATAAAAATCAATTTAATAAATACAAAAGAAATTATAGTAAGTAATATGCCAATACATGAATAGTATTATATCACTTTATGTTGATGTCAAACTTCCACTAAAAGATGAGGATCTTGATCGTTTATATAGTACAAGGACACCTTTGTCATCTAAAGACGTCTTTTTTGGACAAAACTGTGTAGAATTATCAAAAGTTCAACCTATGATCCAAAATAGACAATGCATCTGAAAACCCACTTACCATGTGATTAGAGATAACATAACTACACTTTATATAGATGACTTTATATAAAGTTTTTGTAATTGTAATATTACTCTCCTTGATAAGATTGTAATAGTGTCATCCTGTCAACTTCGAACATGGAAAAAACCAAAACTTCTACTATAAAAAGACCTATGTTCACTCGTCCCCAATTCAAACAGAAGCAAGATAACAATTAATAAGCAAGATCATGGCCAAGACTGTTAAAGCTATCCAGTTTTTTGCACTCTTCTTAATTTTCGTCCTAATTGCAAACTGGGGTGAGTGACGTGAGTTGTTTTGTATACATATGTACTTCAAATACTGTTGTTGTTTTTTTCTTACTTTGTTTGATTGGGGATGATGGCAGTATTGGAGTTGTCGACTACTTCAGTATTAATAGGTAACAGAGACGCACGCGGGGGTCCCTGGTGAGCGAGCGGGGGTCGCGGGGGTAGCGCCCCCGAGCCCGTAGGCGGTTTTGGGCTTTTCTATGTATAACCGCTGTAGGATTTCTTTTAAGTTACTAATTCCTTATTGGGTTTGGCTTAGGAATAGGAATCCTTGTAAAACTAGGTTTAATTTCTTAAACCTATTATATAAACATACTTTTCTCTTGTTATGTGTGTGAGAGCAATTCATTCATTGTAAACGAGAGAGGTGAGGCATATTGCAATAATATTGACTCAGCTGGACGTAGCCCACATTGGGTGAACCAGGGTAAATTACGCGTATTATTTTCTTTGTTTACTGTTTGATTTGTTTTACTATTATATTTTGTTTCTGTTGTTGTCTCTATTTCATTTAGGCGGAAGTGCAAGAAAATCTTTGTGAGAGGGTTAGCCAAACATGGTCTGGGAAGTGCGGCAACACTGACCATTGTAACAATCAATGCAAGCAATGGGAGGATGCAAGGAGTNCCCAGCTGCCACCATTAACATCAGCAGATTTTGTGCTGTGCCTCTCATGATTCTAGGATCAGTTTTTTATTTTTTAAGTAAATACTATTTTTATTGTGATTGTAAATTTATTTTTCAGTTATGATTGTAAATTTATTTTTCAGTTATATATCTTTGAATGCCTAAAATTAGGCCTCTCGGGTTGTATAAATATACAGAGCATGAATAGAAATAAGTGTGAGTTCAAAATACAAATCCATAGCAGTGTAACTTCTCTATAGCCATGAAATGGCCATAAATCTGGCCATGAAACAGCCAGATCTGGCCTTTTTCCAACCATGGGTCTGTGATCCATGATCAGAAAAGCCTCACCGACGCACGACCACTATTTTAAAAACCGGATCGGAGGGTAACCCGCTCTGATGGCCGGGTCACAATTCAACCGGTCCAACTGGTTGGATCGCCGGTTGAACCAATGGTTTGACAGGTTTAAAATCTAACAAAAACACCCTTGATAAATACCATCAGACCCTATAGGTTTGAATTCTAGCAAACACAACCCTGGCCAAATGCAAATCGGCGATCGATTGGGAAAGTAGCGGCGACACACCAGGGAGGGTAGATCGGATGATGGGGAGGGCGAATCGGCAGCTAGCAAGTAGAGGCATGGCCAGAAAATGGCAGATCGATGGTGGAAGTCAATGGTCGCGGTGGCTTTTTTTGGTGAGATGACTGGATCTTCGTGAACGACGACAACGGAGCTTAGGAGAAGGTAGATCGATGGTTGAGGAAGCTTGTCGATGCCAGAGAAGGCCAATCGACGCTAGGAAATGGAAGAAAAATCACGCGACGAAGGTGGACAATGAAACATCACGTGACGACCGGAGATGAAATGCGACAGTGCCGGAGAAAGTCAGAAGGTGGTTTCCGACAATAAGGGGAGGTGAAAGGTCACCGGAAAAAGGGAGATCATTGTCGATTTGCATTTGGCCAGAAGGCGTGTTTGCTAGATTTGAAACCTTCAAGGACTAATGCATATTAATCAGGGGTGTGTTTGTTATATTTTAAACTTAAAACAGTTAAAAAGAGTGACTCGAAGAAGACCCTAGGTCTCGGTCCAACCGATTAAACCGACCGAGCCGATCCAGGTTTTAAAACCATGCACACGGCCGGTCATACATCATTATGGCAACTTTTGGCAACCTCCGGTATTAAAAAATACGGCCAGTCATACGCCATTGGCGGCTGATCATCTGCTCAATTTAAAAAATATTATCCCAGTTATCTAATATTAACCCCATCCAAATGCCCAGTAAGTAGTAAAATATTTGTATATAACCTACATAAAATAGTGTATAAAACCTACATCAACAAAATAAATGGCCTATTCCTTCAAAATACAAAGCATTAGATAATGGGGTAACTAATTGTCCATTTATGTGTCTCGGCGTGTCTTCTTTAAAAAAATACCTAAAATTATTATAATAAGCATATTGATTACATAAATATATTTACAGACCGAATGAAGTTAGGACCTTCATAAAGCTGAAACTATCCGTCCATTTATGTACAGGCAACAGAAGCAAAGCTCAGCCATTCATCCAAATGCAATAGACATGAAAGTATCATCATTCAGAAGTGAGTCAATATCAACTAGTTCTTCATCATCATAAATTATTTCTTCCGAACCACTTAGATCCATGTCACACACCTGCCAATAATCAAATCCAATAACATTTCATTAACGATATGGTAAGAACAATTACGATGGATACTGAAATCCTAAGGAAGTACATGATTCCGAGGTTTTAATTTAGGATTGTCTTAACATGTGCTCTTAGAACACACATTAAAGACGCTAGAAAACAAAAAATTTAGCATTACAATGTATTGGAATTTATTTATTTATTTTGCCTTTTTGTACATAAGATGCATCGAAAATATGTAAATCTTTTGTCTTTTAATATAACCCTCGATTCTAATACTCCTAAATGTTTAAGCTTGTAGGTGGCTGAGATAGTTAAGTGAGATTCAATGCGGCCTAAGAGATCCACAGACGAGCTAGCAACTAAATGAGAGGCAATCCAAGACCCGTCACAGAATTTAAAAAAAAAATAATAATGTGTTTGTGATGCCGGACAATAAGTCAACAGCAACCAAAGTATATAATCTATAATTTTAATTAAAGAAAAAAATACTTCCCAAAAAAAAAAAAAAAAAAAAAGTACATATACCTTGGTCTCACGGAAACCTTCAACAACAGTCAGCAACCTACGGTACTGAGCTCGTCCCTCAGGATACTGAACCATAGACTTCACCCTACTAAGTGCTTTTTGCAACCTTTCTTCTGTTTGTTTTCTTCCCTCCTTAAGAAAATCATAGTCGTCTTCTAAAGGCACAAATTGAGGCTCAGGCTGCTTATTGAGTGCTTCCCGTCTGAATCCGCGTAAACCACTTCCTTTACGTCTCCATCGCAAAATGACCTTCTCCAGAATTCCAACTGACCAGGTAATTGATTTATATTGTTTCCTTACCTGGTGTCCCCTCACATGTGCCTTCACATGATAAGTTAAAAGTCAGAATTTATGTTCATGATTATACATAAATGTACATATTAAGAGCTGCAGAAAATTAGAAAAAAAGAAAAAAAAATCTCAAGGGCCGATTTGTTGCACAATCCAGATAAACTTCTTAAGCAAAAAAATCCATGAATTTCAAGAATGGTTTTTGATACAATCCTAAGAACAAGTTTAAATTCCGAATAAAGGTGTCCTTTTTGTTGTTTCTAATCAGATAGTAACTTAAATAGTACAAGAAAACTCCAACTGTACCCTAACATTTTGAAGATTATTTTCGAACTGCAAACCAACATACCTTAAGAAAATTGTCAATATTGAACAGAGAACTCCATCTTGCTTCTTTTCTTTTTATTAATAAATAAAACATATAGTGCAAGAAATTTAAGCAGACTAGTAAACCAAAAATAAAAAAAAAATCATTGCTAGGGGAACACTTGAAGAGCAAACAGTCAAATAGCCCAAAGAACCTGACTCAACTCCTAAACCATGCTCTCAATTGTAGTAACAACTTAAGGATGATTCCATGATTATCTAAACTTGAAAGGATGCAGACAATTCCATTCCACAAACATCCCTTCAATCACACTTTTTAATTAACTTAAAATTCATTGGAGACAGGATAAATTGTCATGCAAAATCAAACGGGAAACAGCCAACACAACAGAGGGAAAAAAATAACTAATTTCTGGGGGAAAAATTAAAGTATAAAAGATAAGAGAAAGCCCATGAGAAACTAATAACTAAACCTGGATTTTAACAATTCTTTGGCGAATCCACAAGAACTCTTTTCTCTTCTTCCAACCACGATACTTCTTCTGAATCTGTATGGCAGCAGCATGAGCTTGTCCACCTTGCACAGGTTTGAGTGTCTTGGCTGTTACAAGCGAAAGAGCATGCTCATCTGATATAACAAAGTCATCACCAAACTCATTTAACTGTTTCCGCTGGAATGACTGCATCCTGAAGACTTGATGTATACGATCAGCAGCCTGTGTAGCATTACAGACTGCAGTTAGTGAATCCTTCAGTGATAGTACATCTGATATATCACCATCATTCACTGGAGTAGGTGTTCGCTCTGAAACAATTTGCACAGCTGGAGCCCTTGAATCTTCTGAGGCACTATCTTCTGCTGAATCATTCACTGTAAGGGATGAGAGGTGGCTGGTCAAGGAAGACTCTGCTAGAAAGCCAGAAATTCCTTTGTGTCCATTGGCAGAAGCCAGGTCTGCAGGAGTTCTACACAAAGGAAATTCTGGGGAGGGATCGGTCAATGCTCCCGAAGCTGCGCCCAGAGACACAAGTATAGCAACTGTCTGCTCTCTGAATGTTACAAAGATTTAACCAAAAGTCAACCACTTAATAACATAAGATTTCTAGCTTAGTTGAACAGCAAATATAAATTGCCCCACGAGAGATTTGCGAATGTTAAAAAACTCAATGTTTTCAGAAATTTTCTAAAAAACATTAGGTTTCTTAACATTTAAAAGTGTCTCACAGTGGTGAGGGAGCCTGTAATAGTTTGAGTTAGTAGTACTTATTCAAAGAAATTCAAGAAAAAGCCGAGCAGAAAATGCCATTAAACCTTAAGATGTTTCAAAACCAGCTTCCTATAATTTGTAAATAATTAATCTGTATAGTATGATCAAAGCAACGTGCAGCTTTGAGAACAAAGTGTTGGATTTAAAAGGTAACTTAGGGCATATGCTAGATAGCATGGGAGAGAACTTTAGTATGAAAGAGTTCTAGAAGTGTGTATGCTACTATATTTTGGAAGGGAAGAGAGACAAACAGAGGAGTAGAGAAAGGGAAGAGTAGGAGGATATGCATTTTGTAATATCCAGCACGCGGCAAAAAACTATTAGATGGCTTCTCTGATTTCTAGTACATAGTGATGTAGGCAAGGACAAGAAAAGCGGGATAACAAGAGGAATATGGAACTGAAACACATAGCAGGGCAGAAAACAATAGTCATTATTCTAATGATCAATGAAGTGACATAAATCTAAAAACCAAAGTCCTATCTATGTAGTGGTCATTCCTAAACAAATTAGGAAATAAGAGTCTACTTCCAATAACTAATATAATCTACTAAAATAAGAAACCCTAACAAGAAAATTAAATCTAACCAGAACAAGTAATAAATTATTTAAACTCCTAAAATAATTAGAAAACTTAAATCTAGATTCTCCCTCAATATGTACTATTGCCTTATCAGATTCTTATGTTCAATTTCCATGTCAGGATAGAAAGTTATAAGTCTAAGCCAAATATAAATAAGTTGTTTTAACTGCATACAGAATGGAGTCCACATTTAAAAGAAATTTAAAAAATCAAAACTCAGAGGTACTTGCCTGCCACAAAATGCCGCCCAATGAAGGGAAGTCCACCCATTCACATCCCGGAAATTGATACTAACTCCTGCAGTTATAGTTGGCTTTANTATTATCTATGTAGTGGTCATTCCTAAACAAATTAGGAAATAAGAGTCTACTTCCAATAACTAATATAATCTACTAAAATAAGAAACCCTAACAAGAAAATTAAATCTAACCAGAACAAGTAATAAATTATTTAAACTCCTAAAATAATTAGAAAACTTAAATCTAGATTCTCCCTCAATATGTACTATTGCCTAATCAGATTCTTATGTTCAATTTCCATGTCAGGATAGAAAGTTATAAGTCTAAGCCAAATATAAATAAGTTGTTTTAACTGCATACAGAATGGAGCCCACATTTAAAAGAAATTTAAAAAATCAAAACTTAGAGGTACTTGCCTGCCACAAAATGCCGCCCAATGAAGGGAAGTCCACCCATTCACATCCCGGAAATTGATACTAACTCCTGCAGTTATAGTTGGCTTTATGGCCCAATCATAACCAAGAGCAGATGCTAAATGTAATACACCTTGCCCCTCATCATCTAACATACTAGGCCCTTTACCATCTTCAATTACTTTACGAAGGAGCCACGAATACAACTTCTCTTTCATCTGTTTCTGAAGGACCCGCTCCTTCACTCCATGTTGGGACAAGTTCTTAGTGGTTGGCTCCACCATCTGTTCCTCTTCCTCTTTCAGTAAAATGATTTTACCAATTAAATTCTGTTTCTCACGAGATTTTTCAGAGAGATAATTTGGAAGACTCAATGACCCCGTAGATAGGAGCTTCTCAAGACGCAAATAAAGAATCATTTCATTTGAGGCACAACCATATACATCCGAAATAACTACATCTTTAACAGAGCCCGTTATATACTCAAATTCTCGCACTTCACTACATGCTTGCCGGTTGGAACATGTCACATAAAAAGGAACTTGTCCAACTGTGTGAGGTGGCACACGACAACAAAGAACCCCATCAGCCAAAATCTCTGCAGGAACCTCAACTTCCCCAAACATACATGACCAGTTACATTTTGCTACCTCTTTGTGATTCTTCATAAATGTTCCAATAACCAGAACCTGTTACATGGTTTAAACACAACAAAGTAAGAAATAGAAAAGTTTCCCCTTTTTCCACATTAAATTGGTACCTGTTTCAATCTATAATATACATAGAAAGAAGTTAAGAATATAAAAAACTTTCAGAAGTAGTTATAGTGTGTATTATATCCTAAAGTTGCCACAAAATCAAGCTAATAACACATAATAAGGAAGAAAGGAACACATTCAGAAACTTCTGAAGAAATATAAACGTAATTAAGGATTTATTTCATTCACCCCCTGAGAGATAGCCAAGTCTCAAGCGCCATGGTTATTTTCACAAAGTATCAACCACCTCCCAAAAGGTTCTTTTTATATATATTTATAGGGGCCTTTTTTATATTTTTGGGGGCTTTTTTTATTTACTAGGAATTTTATGGTATTTGCCAGGGGCTTCTGGTAATTTTAGGTAGGCATCTAATACTTTCCCAAAATTGAGTCGCTTAAGACTTAGCTATTTCTCAGGGGGGAAATAAAATCAACCCATAATTTATTAAAAAAGAAAAAAAGAAAGAAAACTAATGTCAGAAAAAAGTTGGACAAAAAAAATCCTCCAATTATACAAATTACTTGAATGTGCAATGCAACTTAGGGATAAAATCTACAAACTACAAATTACTTATTTGGACTATAAAATTGACAATGCAGCTTAAAAAAATCAAAGGGACGCACTATTTAAATGGAAAAACCAATTGTCTGCTTCATAGCATATAGATTACTTGTTGACAAATCAGTTCTAGAAATAAAAGATAATTCAATACCTCAATTTCTGAATCTGTGTAGGACCACTTAGGTGAAAAATCAGTTATGCTGAAGAGCTGATCCTGGGAGAGGGAGGGGCTCAGTGAAGAATCCTCAACAACATTTTCACATCCAACAGTGCTCCATGGAATACCAGAGGAGGATTGCATATTCAAATCTTCTACCTCAGCAAGTTCTTTATTTACCCACCGTGAGAAGCTGTCAACTTTTTCCAAGCCACCTTCTCCATTCAGTAACTTTTGTTTCACAGAAAAAGCATTATTGATATTACGTTCTCTATGCGTTTCACTTTCACAACTAGATTCCACATCTCCCAGTATAAGTTTGTTCTGTACAGGCAGCTCACATTGCCGACCACGAAGTGGCTCAGGAGCACTTTGGTCAAATAACCAGACATCTGGATCATATGCCAAATCCAAATTTGAACAGAGATTCCAATTTGACAAGTGCAAAGAATCATCAGCAAATGGAATCTGGACAAAATATTTAAGATTAAAACAACAAAATCTTATAAATTTCAGATTAAAAGAAAACAAAATTTGAACATGAATATAATCAAATAAATTAAAAAAGATAAAATTGTACCATGCAAGCAATTCTAAATTTTATGATAAATCATAAAGTACTGTTTTCAATACTGACTCATGTTCAAGATGGGCTCCATGTTCACAAAAGTCTAATTTTCAATTTACAGTAACCATGAAGAATTGAACTGCCTTCCTAGTAAACTTGAAGTGCTGCTTTAACAGTTCAAACATATAAATGGTACCATGCACTTTTATCATATCATCCTCATTTTTGGAAGCAAATTTAAGTTCAATGATATGACAGTAAGTTGGCAATTGACATGAATACAAGTAGCAAAAATAAGACTTTAGTCTATGAAGGAATCTCTGACAGTGGTTTGCTTATCCCTAATAAATGATGCTTCTGAAAATAAAATTAAATGACATTCAGAGCAGATAAATGTTCAGGTAGATGAAAGTATTAAAAAATTTTCAACAGCTGGAATTGAGCATTTTAACCCAACCCATATAAATGGACTATATTGTAGCAAGGAAGCAATCTGGCTTACATCTCATAGTGTAATCTCCCAAAGTTATTTGTTCTCCAAAACAGGTTCAAGAACAGTTGTCATTAAAACTATTTTTTGAAACATTTAATCAATATTTGTCTTTAGTTGAAAAATAATAATCAATTTCGCACAATAAAACAGCTTCATATACCGACCTAAATTAACATCCAGTGGCCAACTGATAGACCACCCATTACTAAGAGATATATCAAGCAAGAGAGAAGGATCACTTGTAGGAATAAAGGCAGTGGGAATTAGTTACAATATTGGGCACACGTGTCCTGATTTTGTAGGATATTAGTGGGGAGGCAAGAGTGCTTATAAGGGGGACTAATTTCATGATTCCATTAGCTTGTTTTTCAAAGGAATATTGTTGGGAGGTCACTAGCTCCTCGAATTGCTAGTAAACTTGTTTTTCATTCTTGTTCTTCTTTATTTCCTTTCCTTGTTCTTCTTTTTATCAATCTATATCAATATAATTCATATAAGTTTGTTTCTTATTAATCCTGTGTTGTTAAGATTACTGTTTTGTGTGTGTTTGAGCTGCTGCATTTGCTATTTTGGTTGAGGTTTGTATCAAATTGGTATCAGAGCCAAGGTTGGGAAATGATAAAATCAAAGATGGAGAACAAAATGTATGGGGTTGAGAAAGAAATAAACACGATGAAAGAAGATATGAGTACGATGAAGAGTGGTTTAGTGTTAAGGAATATTTGACAGAAAGGAGAGAGTTAATGTGATTAAGAGAAGAAAGGGATGAGAGACGAAACCGTGAGAAGGAGAAATCATCATCATTGGAAAATCAAAACAATGGCGAGAACAGGGGACAAGAACGATACCAGAGTGGTGAGACAGGGAAGGAGGACAAGAGGATCAAGAAGCTTGAGTTGTCGATCTTTAATGGAGACGATCCATTTGGATGGACCTTCAGGGCGGATCGTTACTTCACTATCAACCGATACGAAGAAACGGAAATGATGGAGGCAACCGCCATCTGCATTGAGGGGAGAGCATTGAATTGGTACCAATGGATGAATTTTCAAACACCAATTCATTCTTGGAGAGTTTTTAAAACAGCTCTGGTTGCCAGATTCTGACCGTCCTTCCAAGGGACAGCCTATGAGGCGTTGTTGGCCTTGAAACAGTCGACGTCGGTGATGGAATATCGAGAGGAGTTTGAGGCTCATACTGCACCATTGAAGGAGTTAGGCGAATTGGACCTAATGAAGCCCAATGACCTGAATGGGGTGATGGAGCAAGCCCATCAAGTTGAAGAAAAAAATTGGGTAATGGATAAAGTCAAGCCCAAATTCGCTAAAGCCTAAGGGGGAAGAGAAGCTTATACCTAGGTGTCTTTAAGTCAGAAGTTGGGCAACCCAGTTGGTGGCCAAACACAACAAAAACTCCAGAACAAGGGTATGCTTCGGCAAATCGACCACTCGATAGAAGAGAAAAACCACCAGAGACAACAGCTTCTAGTTTTAGAGGGGAGAATTTCCGACGGCTATCTGAGGCAGAAATACGATATAAGAGGGAAAGGGATCTATAATTTAGATGCGATGAAAAATTTAGCTCAAATCATTGATGCAAAGGCAAGTCTCTGCAGATTCTTCTTGCATGGGAGGACGACGAAGCAGAAGGAGAGTCCATACCTATCATCAATGAGACGCCTGTTGAAGTGTAAAATAGGAAATAGGATTATTCTCATTGTAAAATAGGAAATAGGATTAATATGATTATTCTCATTGTAAAATAGGAAATAGGATTATTCTCATAAAAAACTATCTTCTATATTAGGTTAGGATCAAAGCTATTAAGAATTAGATCAATTATAATAGGAATGTAACAATTTACTTCCTAGATTAGTTTTTTGTTTTTTTGCTATAAATTCATTGTACATTTCATTGTGATATATATAATAAAACAAAGTATTTCTTCACATGGTATCAAAGCCAGGTTTCTGAAGTTCCAATTTTTGTTTCCTCTCTTTCTCGGTTTATTTTTCCGGCAACTGCTCTCCAGCAATGATCAGGATCTGGTCTAATCATACCAGACTGATCGTCTCCTCATCGTCGTCATAACCCAAGTGGTTTCATCGTCGACCGCCGCTGCACGCACCCTCATGCGCCAATCGAGTTTCCAACAACCTCTGCTCTGATCTGTTTTTCCGGCGAGCGTGAGCTTCTGCTTTTCTATCAGCTTCAAGACACTCTGATGTTCTTCATGGATCCCCCTAAATCAGCCTCTTAGTCACATCCAAGTGGTTTTTCTTTTTATCTCTCCCTCCCATCACCACCGAAAAATTAATTGGGACTGCTAATTATTCATCCTGGGCTGCCTCTGTCGAATTATGGTGTATGGGTCAAGGTCTAGAGGATCACTTGACCACCAAGGCTGCTGATATTACATCAGATAAGTCTTCCTGGACTAAAATTGATGCTCTGTTGTGTAGTATGTTATGGCAAACTATTGATCCCCCCTTTCAGCCTATTTACAAATCTTACCACTCTTGTGTTGATATTTGGAGTCAGGCTAAACTTCTCTATACAAATGACATTCAACGTTTATATTCTGTTGTGCCCAACTTAGTTCATCTCAAACAGCAGGATATGAATGTGTCCGACTTCCTTGGTAAGATTGCCTCCCTTAGGACAGAATTCAATCTACTGTTACCAGCTGGTAAATCTGCGACAGAAGATTTGGCTCAACGGGACAAGTTCTTTATGGTCCTGACACTTATAGCTCAGCTCTAGGTCCAGATCTTACACCTGTTCAAGATCAAATCCTTTCTGGATCTACTGTGCCTTCCCTTGATGAAGTGTTTGCCAGATTACTTCGTGTTTCCTCCCCTACTACAGTGCATTCCCCTGGTGACTCTTCAGTTCTTGTTTCTTAGTTCCACACTTTTACTAAAAGAGAACAGGGCGATCAAGGTGGTAGAGGAAATCGACCCAAGTGTAGTTACTGCCATCGGTGGGGGCATACCAGAGAGAAATGTTTTAAGTTACATGGTTGCCATACCCAGGCTGCTAATATTGCTCAGGCTGGTCACTCTGATCTTCATTCTGAGTCCTCTACAGTGCAGGTTCAGCCCTCCTTAACTCTCACAGGTATTGATTATGATGAATACTTACAGTATCAGGCCAGTAAGCAATCTTCTTCGTCCATTGCCTCCGCTCAAACAGGTAATTCAGTTGCCTGCCTTACTCAGTCTTCCGCTCTAGGACCTTGGGTCCTAGTTTCAGGTGCCTTAGATCATATTACTGATAACCCTCATTTACTTACTCAGATTACAAATACTGCATCTTTAACCCCTGCTATTTTAGCTAATGGGTCTAAAACCGATGTTCAAGCTATTGGTTGTGCAAAACCCTTCCCTTCCTTATAATTAAACTCTGTGCTTTATATTCCCCACTGTCACTTTAATCTTGTGTTTGTCAATAAACTTACATGCTCTTTAAATTGCTCTATTCGTTTTGATACTGACTCTGTTGTTATACAGGACCGCGACACAGGACAATTGATTGGCACAGGACGTGAGTCACAAGGTCTCTATCATCTCCATATCCCATCTACAGCATGCACTGTCTTCGAGTCTCCGAATCTCCTTCATAATCGTTTGGGCCATCCTAGTCTTTCCAAACTTTAGAAAATGATCCAAGGTCTATCTAAATTATCGTCCTTGAGTTGAGTCGTGTCAATTTGGAAAGCATACTCGTAGTTCTTTTCCAAAGCGTGTCAATATACGGGCTCCGTCCCCCTTTGAGTTAGTGCATTCAGATGTGTGGGGTCCTTGTCGTGTTACTTCTAATTTGGGATTTAAATATTTTGTTACCTTTATTGATGACTATTCCCGTTGCACTTGGTTATTTCTTATGCGATCTAGTTCTGAATTATTTTCCATATTTTCATCATTTTGTGCTGAAATTAAGACTCAACATAATACTACCATTCGTATATTACGAAGTGATAATGCTCATGAATATTTCTCTGATTCCTTTACTAAATTCATGTCATCTCAGGGAATTCTTCATCAGTCTTCTTGTGCTTATAGTCCTCAACAGAATGGCATTGCTGAGCGTAAAAATAGACACCTCATTGAAACTGCTCGCACTCTTCTTTTATATAGCCACGTCCCTTTTTGTTTTTGGGCAATGCTGTTCTAACTGCTTGTTACTTAATCAATCGCATGCCTTCTTCTGTCTTACAAGACCAGGTCCCACACTCCATATTATTCCCTGATCATCCATTATTTTCTCTTCCCCCACGTGCCTTTGAGAGCACCTGTTTTGTTCACATTTTCTCTCCAGGTCAAGATAAACTGTCAGCCAAGTCTACGAAGTGTATTTTCGTAGGGTATTCACGTCTTCAGAAAGGCTACAAGTGTTATTTTCCCGCCACACATCGCTACTTCATCTCTGCTGATGTTACGTTCTTTGAGTCTTCTCCATTTTTTCCTCATCCTACATTAGAGTCTGATCCGATAGTAGATGTCCTACCAATACCATACATTGCTTTTCCACCTTCGTCGGTTTCGATACCTTAGTCTACTACTAATACCACTCTTCCTGTCAACAATAGTCTTGTTCCTTTTACAGGTGATCCAGATGTTCCTTCTGCGGTTCCTGAGACCCCTGTCACTGCAGGTCATGTGCTCGATTCCTCCACTGCCACCGTCTTGTCTCAAGCTGATCAGTTTCCCATTGCTATTCGTAAAGGTATGCGGTCTACACGCAATCCTCATCCCATCTACAATTTTTTGAGTTATCATCATTTATATCCTTTCTATTATGCCTTTGTATCCACCCTTTCCTCTGTTTCTGTTCCTTGCACTGTTCATGAGGCACTTTCTCATCCCGGGTGGCGTCAAGCAATGGTTGAAGAAATGTCTGTTTTGCATCATAATCATACTTGGGAGTTAGTTTCCTTACCTCCGGGCCATTCGACTGTTGGTTGTCGATGGATTTACACTGTAAAGGTTGGTCCAAGTGGTAAGGTTGATCGACTGAAAGCCCATTTGGTGGCCAAGGGCTACACTCAGATCTATGGGACAGATTATTTTGACACTTTTTCTCCTGTTGCTAAGATGTCTTTTGTCCAGTTGTTCTTTGCTATGGCTGACATTCGACACTGGCCTATGCATCAATTGGATATTAAGAATGCTTTTCTTTGTGGTGAACTTCAGGAAGATATTTATGTGGAGCAACCTCCTGGTTTTGTTGCTCAGGGGGAGTCTGGTTTGGTATGTAAACTTCGTCGTTCTCTATATGGCCTAAAACAGTCTCCTCGTGCTTGGTTTGGACGATTTAGTACAGTTATCCAAGAGTTTAGTATGATTCGATCTGAGTCTGATCACTCTGTTTTCTATAGACATACATCATTAGGGCAATGTATCTATCTGGTTGTCTATGTCGATGATATTGTTATTACAGGAAGTGATCAAGGTGGTATTGGACAGTTGAAGCAACACTTGTTCAAACACTTTCAGATGAAAGACTTAGGGCTACTCAAATGCTTGCTCAGTTCAAATCTGGTATTGTTATTTCTCAGAGGAAGTATGTGCTGGATATTCTAGAGGAAATAGGGATTTCAGATTGCAGACCAATAGACTCTCTTATGGATCCTAATTTAAAACTTTCACCTGGACAGGGGGAGCCTCTTGCTGATCTTGGAAGGTATCGAAGACTTGTTGGAAAACTTAACTTACTATCACACGGCCTGATATTTCCTTTTCTGTCAGTGTTGTAAGTCAGTTCCTTCAAACTCCATGTGATAGTCATTGGGATACAGTTGTCCGGATTTTAAGGTATATCAAGGGAGCACCAGGTAAAGGCTTAATGTATGAAGATAAGGGTCATTCACATATTATCGGGTATTCAGATGCTGATTGGGCAGGTTCTCCATTTGATAGACGTTCTATCTCAGGTTTTTGTGTTCTTGTTGGAGGAAACCTAGTTTCATGGAAAAGTAAGAAACAAGCGGTTGTTGCAAGGTTAAGTGCTGAAGCAGAGTATCGTGCAATGGCCTTAACCACTTGTGAGCTTGTTTGGTTAAAACAACTAATTCAAGAGTTGAGATTTGTCGAAGTATCACAAATGAAGTTACTCTGTGATAATCAGGCTACTCTTCATATTGCTTCAAATCCAGTGTTTCATGAGAGGACTAAACACATAGAAATTGATTGTCACTTTGTTCGAGAGAAAGTTCTATCAGGGTGTATTGCAACTAGTTATGTCAGTTCCAACGACCAGTTAGCAGACATCCTCACTAAGTCTCTCAAGGGTTCTCGTGTTGATTTTATTTGTAATAAGCTTGGTACATATGACTTATATGCTCCAGCTTGAGGGGGAGTGTTGAAGTGTAAAATACGAAATAAGATTAATAGGATTATTCTCATTGTAAAATAGGAAATAGGATTATTCTCATTAAAGACTATCTTCTATATCACGTTAGGATCAAAGTTATTAAGAATTAGATCAGTTATAATAGGAATGTAACAATTTACTTCCTAGATTAGTTTTTGTTTTTTGTTATAAATTCATTGTACATTTCATTGTGATATATGTAATAAAACAAAGTATTTCTTCACAAAGCCCATCACGGAAGGTAATCCCTTGGCTCTTTCAATGAATTCTATTGTTGGTATTACATCGGATAAGACTTTGAAAATCAGAGGACTCATTGGGAAGGAAGAAATTATCGTGCCGGTGGATAGTGGAGCATCACACAACTTCATCTCACATGAGTTGGTGCGCAAATTGGGGATATCAGTTGAAAGAGGGAAGACTTTTTGGAGTGATGGTGGGTAACAGGGTGACAATAAGGGGGGAAGGGATATGTAAAGGAGTACAAATGGAGATCCAAGAAGTTATGGTGCAACAGATTATTTTCCTTTTGATTAAGGAGGAGTGGATATGGTATTAGGAATCTCTTGGTTGAGTTCACTTGGGGACGCACGTGCGAATTGGAAGAACCATGGCATTTGAGGTAGAAGGGGGTGATGTTACAAGGAAACCCGGGGAAACCCGTCACTGGTAAAAACTGTAGTATCCCTTAAGGTCACGTTGAGGTCGATGCAAACAACAGGAACTGGGTATTTGGTGGAGTTCTGCTCAATTGCGTATAAACCAGAATTAGAAGAGGAACCACTGGAGCCTAGGGTAGCTAGGGTATTGGAGGAGTTTAAATACTTGTTTGATCAACCCACTAGATTACCTTCCCAAAGGGAACATGACCATGCCATAGTGCTTAGAGAAGGAGCTCAACCCCCTAACATCAGACCGTATAGGTACCCTTATTTTCAAAAGAATGAGATTAAGAGGTTGGTTGGCGAAATGTTAGTGGCTGACATCATCCAACCCAGCACTAGCCCCTTGCTAGTCCAATTTTATTGATTAAGAAGAAGGATGGCAGCTGGAGGTTTTTTGTCGATTATAAAACCCTTGATAGCATCACCATACCAAATAAATTTCCCATTCCTACCATCGATGAACTGCTCGATGAATTAGCCGAAGCAACCATTTTTTCCAAACTTGATTTAAAGTCTGGATACCAACAAATTAGTGTTAAGGAGGAAGATGTGCCAAAAACAAGTTTACTAGCAATTCTAGGAGCTAGTGACCTCCCAAACATATTCCTTTGAAAAACAAGCTAATGGAATCATGAAATTAGTCTCCCTTACAAGAACTCTCGGCTCCCCACTAATATCCTATAAAATCAGAACACGTGTGCCTAATATTCTAACTAATTCCCACTACCTTTGTTCCCACAAGTGGTTCTTCTCCCATGCTTGATATATCTCTTAGTAATGGGTGGTTGATGAGACCCCTTTAGTGACGTCTTCAGCAGAAAGAATAAGAGGGTGAATAGAGGATAAATAGCATTTTACTGCACATAAAGCAATGGACAGGTGGCATCTACAGATTGGGTTTAAAGAAATTCTGTTAGAGTGGGATTTGTGCATAAAAAGGGTTTACAGGGAATGTTTGGGGATATTGAAAAAGTAAAAGGGAATTTGGGTTGGGGAGGTACTGGCCCTCTAAGCCAGCTAGTTATCCTTGGTTATCTTTTTCTTATTTTCTCTTACTGCCAATTTGCTTATTGTCAGTTGCTATTCATTTTCTAGATTATACTTTGTGTAGTCCTTGTTGATGATCGAACTGGTGTTTGTTTAGGATATTATTAGTAATACAGTAAAGGTATTTCAGTAAAGTTTGGTTGAGAGGATTTGTCTTGCGTTTGTTGTTGGGGTGACTGGGAATTCTGGGAATTTGAGTGCATGTGTGGTTTTGCAGGTTCAGATAGAAGGAGGTTTCTATCAGTGGTCTATCACCAACTTAGTAGCATTTTCCCTTTAGACTTCATAAGTGTCTTTCACCTTCAAAAATTGCTTTTGGAAGTCACATACTCCAAAGACATCTACCAAGTTGAAGCAACCAAAGAATTATAAACAAGCCTAGACTCTTATTTACTGACAATGTGAGATGAAACAAATTCCCAACTTTATGGACCTTGTGTCATCATAAAAGCCTATTTGCAGGTACATCTGATACAAATTGTGACTGTGGGACCAACCAAAAAGATTTTTATGCTGTGGGATACAATAAATATCTTTCACCACAAACAAATCCACTGTACTGAGAAGGCAGAAAACAGCAATATGAGATTTTGACACCTAAAAGCCCTCTAGTTGCAGAAAACACAAATCAAAACCAAAAAATAATGATAATTGCATGATAGCCAACCGTTTCATCCAAATTACAAATAGTAAGAGTAAGTAAATTGCATATGAAATTAATAGCAACTATTTTTTTATTTAAGAGAATCAGATAGAATTAGTAGCAACTGTTACAGGTACCTGAGAATTTGATTGGACAGGAAGAGAACTCGCATACTCTGTTTTGACAGAAATCTGGCCATCTAAAAGTTCACCATAAGTCAGATTGTCTTTTTTAAGGTTCATTCCAGCACCAGCATGAGAAGGCACAGTATCATATCCCCTGGTGCAATCTTCCAAGACCTCTTCCCATGATCCCAAACCAAGTGTCCTTTGAGACTCAATTGTATAAGTACCATTATCATTATCTTTGGGTCTGTCTCCAAGAACCCGGGGTATCTGATCTCTAGGAATTGATGACTGGCCTTCATGATTGTCTGGTAAATGTCTCAAACATATTAACATGTTTTAATGTCATATCATGTAAAGCTATTGACATGAAGAGACAGGGGAGTGAAGTACAAACTAAAATGGAAAATTACAGATCAAATAAAGATAGAGTTGGAGAAAACAAGGTTACCATTCTTAGGAAGCAAAAGGTATGAATTTGGGAGGCCAGAATTCATCTTATCCATAGTAGATGCATTTCCCATTTGTCGTGACTGAAGATGTATTGGGAATCTGGAACTCACTTGATAACTATCCCCTATGGGGAATGCAACAAGTTACCATATAAGCAAATTTATCATAATCAAAATTGGCAATCAGTTCATAAAATAAAACTTTGTCGCTCAGGGGATTAAGTTTAATAGGGTGAAAGAAATATGACCAGCATAAAATAAATCAAAGCCGGAAAATACCAGAATCAGCCTCTTCACATGATGATGTCAGAGTGCTGGTTGGGCTAGTGGAATCTGTAATCCCTGAAAGTGCTTTGGTATGATTTTCAGGATAGCTATAAGTCAAAGGGCTGGCCTTTCCCAGACTCGATATAATTTCATTATTCTCGCTCATGCCTCCAACATTCATTTTATTACCCTGTTTTGATGGTATAAATCAAGCGGACAAATTAAGTAGATAATACTTATAAATATATTCATGTGACATGTAGAAGATTTTTTACTTTCCAAGAAAATAAAAGGGATCCTCAATGTATAGAAACACCTCCTAAATAAGGTAAAATATAATAAAATCACTAACACAATATTAAAAAAATAATAAGAACTTCAAGTTGAAGAATGAGAAAATTGAAATATGCTAGACTTGAAGCTTGTTATAGAAACAATACACATTTTTTAATACAAACAACTGTAATGTGTGAGAATCCCTCCAAGGTCAAATAATTGAACCCGTTAACATTTGGGATAAAGGGAAGTACATTATTGCAATAATAGTTATCATGAGAGAGTTACATAATGGCTTCTCTATAATGCAATGTCGAGGCCATTTCAATGGATTCTTGGAGAAAAAGTATTTTTTTTTTTTGGAAGCATATGCCTTTATGACCCACAAAAGGACAAAAAAAAACTTTTGGCATAGGAATAAAACTCCTTTACTTTAGCCAATCATTTTGTTAGTTCAACAATATTATCATGAGTATTACGAGCAGTTTGGTAATTCTATGTTCAGCTAAAATAGGTTATATGTGAGGCCATTGAATGTCTTTTGAGATTATCACTTGAGAGAATTATAATGTCCTTTAGTTGATTAAGGATAAGTTTTGTTGTTGAAGATTCCTAAATCCTATAATCTCAAAAAACTTAATTTTACTAGGATAACGGTCAAATTGCTATATGTATTACCTGTATTCTAAAAGTTACATAGAGTTGACTTCAATAGGACATTTTGGAGCCTCTTAAAGGGATACGACAAAGAGATATTGGATCTCCATCTTTTTCTTCAACTAAGTGGTGGATGGCTTGAATAGATTGAGGCTACACTTACGGAAGGTATTATTGTAGGTAAGATAAGATAGATGCTTCAAATATTCTATCTCCATCTTTTTCTTCAACTCAGTGGTGGATGGCTTGAATAGATTGATGCTACACTTGCGGAAGGTATTATTGTAGGTAAGAGAAGATAGAAGCTTCTAATTTACAATCTATTGATAATACTCTTCCTTTTCTTCAAGTAATTTCAAGAAATTGAAAATCTCCTAAAAGTTTTAGAAACATTTAATCTTATTTTTTACCTTAAAATGATATGGCCCACTGCATATTTGTGGAGATTAACTTCTCAAAATGGAAAATGAAAACATTGGGAAATCAATTTGGATTGTCAAAAGGAAGTTGACCGCTTAGGTATTAGGGTATTCATTTTGGAAACCATCCAATCTTCTATCTTTAAGTCCAAAAGTAGAAAAAATTAGAAAAAGACATGGGGGGTGAAAAAGAGGATTCTAATCTAAAAGGGGTAGAATTAAACTAATTCAATTTATCTTCTTAGCTCCTCCAATTTATTGTCTTTCATGGTTTAAGATTCGCAATGGGAATGCAAAACGAATATAAGAATGTTGAGGTATTTCTTGTGGAAAAGGATATAAGGGAAGTAAACGTGTTCATCTCATAAGAGGGACACAATGTCTAGGCCTAAGGACAAAAGGGAGCTTGGTATTGATAATGTGGTGAAAAAGAACAAGGCTCTCTTGGCTATATGGCTTCCAGGGTTCCTTTTCAAAAAGGATTCTCTATCGCATGGTGATTAAAAGCAAATATGATATCCAAATGGGTAAGATACTAATGTGATTGACAAAGGTTCTTATATAAACCCTTGAATAGCTATATCTAAGGAGTAATTCATTTACCACTCACTTTAGCTTGGGGGATGGAAATGATATTTTATTGAGGGAGAGCAAATGGATAGGATATCTTCTTGTGAATCAATCCTTCTAATATCTGTAGACTCTTCCATATTTTCTAGGGTGGTATCCTCTCCTCTAACTCAAAGTTAGAATTGGAATCTCAATTTCAAAAGGTCCAAACCTTATACAAACTTTGGTTCAAGAAAAAATCAGTACAAGTAAAATGATCCAATTGACATATCCGATGAGTCTCTACGCTTCTTGGTTTACAATGTGTAAAAGAAGTGAAGAGTCCTCTTGTCATTCTTTCCTTCATTGTGTTGTGAACTCAAATTTGTGTACAAATCTTGCATGAAAGCCAAGATGTCATGGCCATTCTAGGTTCTTGTGATGAAATCCTTATGGAGAATGATGCTACCTTTGAAAGAGGAAAGAAAGCAAAAACTCTTTGGAGATGTGTTTTTAAACTGTTATAAGGGAAGAAAACAGCAGCGATTTGGGAGAAAGTTTTCCTTCTCACCCCATTTGAGCCTCGGTTATCAAGATGTTTTAAGATTCTTCATTTTTTCCTTCTTTGTTCACACCTAATCCATAGCTGTATCTTCTCATCTTCTTCATTTCATACAAATTTTAAAGTTTCTTATAAAATAAATAAATAAATAAAGTTTGATGGTAGAGGAGTTTATAAATTCTAGATTGATCTTTTCAATTTTGCTTCTTCAATTATTTTTTCTTCCAGATCTATTGCCAACATTCTTCTGGTCTGTTAAGTGAAAAGCTTGCAAAAGATTACAACCTCTGAGGAAAAGCTAGAGTTTCCATGGTGTTAAAAAATTTAAAGTTTTAGATATGATTCACTTCAAAGTTGCAAATTCATCTTGGTCAAATTCCTACCTAAAAACCAATGGATATTATTTGTGTAAGATGATGAGCATTATCACCAACGGATTTAAAATTGCAAAAAGCAGCCTAATTGAAATCGCTTGGTAAGGAAATGGTTGTGACAGAAGACATTTGAAAACCAGAGATCTTATCTTATAACTCTTCAGAATCCTTCTCAAGTGTGGAGATTGGTTTATTAAACCTACTTTTATGAAATACAAATTTAACCTACATACATCACAATGGTCAAGTGTGGATATTGTTGTGTAATATAAGACTGGACAACTCAATATACCCACTATGATGAATAGGGAAAATTATAGTTTCTCAGTAGACATTGTTTACTAGAATTTTCCCAAAAGTGTGATAAATGTGGTATTATTGCTCATCTAGCATATGTTCAAATGCAAATTGTTGAGAAATTTGGAAAGGTTTCCTCCTAAACATCAAAGCAAATCTAAATCTAGGAAACTAAGCTCTCAAAGAAAGTAGTAAAAATCGGGTTTTACACTAACACAATGTTGTTGTGTGGATAGCCTAGGCCATAAATATTGCTTTTTCAATCATGTGTTAAGGCAAAACTACACCATCCCAAACAAAGTTGCACCTAACTCATCATCTCTTCTCAACATAATTGCTCAACAATTTAAACAAAATTGAGAATAAAAAAGACTAGTGAGTTTTTATTCTATTTTTTATATAAAGAACATAAGTAAATGGAAATTTCAATAATATGTTTAAAGAACTTCGTATGGTCTTTGCATCCAATGGTTAAGCCATGCTCAAAATTGATGATATTAATTACTAATTGTAGTGAAGATGAAGAAGGAATACCTTAACTTCCAAGTAGTGGACAAAAACTATGTGCATCATATCCCTGCGAAATTGAACTTCTTCATAAGAACCAGACAAAAAAAATAACACATATTAAACAAAAATGTCTAAGATTCCATCTAAGAATCAATGAATATCATGTTAATGAGCATTCCAATAAACCTCATCAATAATAGGGATGTGCAAACAAAAAGATTAACCCTTAAAATGAATCAAACCAAACACAACTCATTGGTTCAGTTTAATTCAGTATTCTATCATAACTATTTCATTTGGTATTGGTGAAAAAAATATCAGTAAGTTCATTAGTTTTCAGTTCAGCAATGTTTAAACCAATCAATTCTATCAAGAAACATGTATATGTTTATACTAATACAGTTATTAAATAGTTTATAAAAAATTGCATGCAGAGTTTTAACAATATAATCCAAGTTGTCATATAAAAATTTCCACCCTAGACTTTCTTATTTGTTTGGGTCAGTTTAAACCCTGGACCGTACAAATCTACCTCAAACTGAGAAGCCACATCAAAACTGTTTGGTTTAGTTTTTATACATCTATGGATTGGTTTTGGCCTAAATTTTTGGAAAGCAATCATTTTTTATTTGGTTGCAATTTTCGTCAATGGAGAAATTAAGGAATTTTAAGGTATAGTCATATTTTAATCGTAGCTTCATGCCAATACATCTTTGGAAATTTTATCAGTTTCCAGTGACATAAATAGTAACAATTTTATCAAGTTAAGAAGGTCCATTATAAAGATGATGATGATGATGATGAAGAGAATTTTGGAGGATAGAAGTGGTGAAGAGATTTGGTCCATGTGAGATAAAGTAAATTTTTGGGCTTCTCTTTGGGTGTCTATCACTTCAGAATTCAAAGATGTTTCTTTTTTCTTTANATGCAGAGTTTTAACAATATAATCCAAGTTGTCATATAAAAATTTCCACCCTAGACTTTCTTATTTGTTTGGGTCAGTTTAAACCCTGGACCGTACAAATCTACCTCAAACTGAGAAGCCACATCAAAACTGTTTGGTTTAGTTTTTATACATCTATGGATTGGTTTTGGCTTAAATTTTTGGAAACCAGTCATTTTTTATTTGGTTGCAATTTTCGTCAATGGAGAAATTAAGGAATTTTAAGGTATAGTCATATTAATCGTAGCTTCATGCCAATACATCTTTGGAAATTTTATCAGTTTCCAGTGACATAAATAGTAACAATTTTATCAAGTTAAGAAGGTCCATTATAAAGATGATGATGATGATGATGAAGAGAATTTTGGAGGATAGAAGTGGTGAAGAGATTTGGTCCATGTGAGATAAAGTAAATTTTTGGGCTTCTCTTTGGGTGTCTATCACTTCAGAATTCAAAGATGTTTCTTTTTTCTTTAGTCAACAAAATTGGGAATCCTCAATTACCTAGCTAGGGAAGATTTTCGTGAAAATTTGATTAGGGATTTTTAGTGTTGAAGATTTTGGAACAGGAGAAATGTTTTCATGTTGTTTTGTTCTATGAACCCTTGGGTTTAGGGACAGCTTGTCCTTTTGTATGGACATTTTGTCCACCCTTGTATACTTTTAATAGACAATATTTGTTTATTAGCCAAAAAAAAAAAAGAAAAAAAGAAAAAAAGAAGAGAGATAGAGAGATGACAATGATGAGTTCAGACTTACTGTTCAAGCAACCAATAGCAGCGCCTCTGGAAATTTTCGTTCTCTTCTCCATGGGCATAATAGCAGTGTAACACATCAACACTTCCAACCTAAAATTGCTTGGATAATTTATCTCTCAAACTCTCACTACATTTTATTTGAATCATGATACCAAAACATAAAATAGAAGAAGAATAAGTGCAATTATTCAGGGCCTTAATCTCAGGGTTCCACAGCCCAGATAGAAGCTAAGTGCAACCTTACCTTCAATTTCTCATGCGCCTCCTTAACAGTCTTTCCATCTTTTTTCTTCCTCCAATTATGTCCGTCCTTCCTAAAGTATCTCAACACCTTTCGATCGAAAAGAAAAAGTGAACCACCTAGCATGGCGGAGTGCATGTCAAGCTACAATGTTAAATACGACAATGTTTCAACACAGAAAATGTTTGAAAATTACCAACAAGAAGCAAACACTAATGTTTGAACTGAAAGTTTTCAAACTTCTCAAAATTTCTTCCACATGGAAACATCATAAGATATGCAAAAACTAAAAGCAGGCAAGGGACGCAGAAACATAAAAAATATCAATCACATCAAATTCAGAACTAAGAGTTATGAATCAATTAATCCTACATGTAGTGGCCAAAAGAATTGGTATGCTGTTGTTTATATCAAATAAGCAGTTAAACCTATTATTCCTCCGAATGATATTAAAAAATAAAAAAAGAATATAAGAGCAGGGTGAAAAATGCCCAACTCTTACCAAAGAACAACATTTAAATCATAGGCCATGTAGCCCGGTTTTTCCTCAATGGCATAGCAAAATGATAAATTATATACATGTGCCCCTCTCAAAATTCAGAATCTACATATCCAAACAAATAGGTCCCAAATTATTTGCACAATAAAAGTAATGAAAACTTGGAAGGAGACACAGTAAAGAATGGTTTAGAATAGCAATCACAATCAAAATGTCAGTTACCATCAGTTCTCATATGTCACTCACACATCTAAAGTTTCAGAATCCATTAAAACATATTAACAACTTTTAATGACCTAGCGGTTGTAGGAATTCTTGACAGTCATGAATCATTAGCAGTAAATCTACGTTTACCCAACATTCAATCTACCCAATTTATTTTCTTTGTGCTATGGAAATTTAACGAAAAATATCTGGCTATATATTCCAAAATAAAAGTGCACTAACATGTAACAGATTAAAAAAAAGGGATTACAAAATTATTGCATGATAAATTACCTAATAGACTTTGAATCCACCAAGCTAACAAAGCATAATACCTTCTATAAACTTCAGATACTAACCAAACAGAACAGAATTGTGCACTCGCAAAATAGGGAATGATAGAACAGGGAACAATCAGACCAGAGCAATTACATAACAGAAGAATTTAATGCAATACCAGAAAAAACAGAAAAAGATAAATCAAATATAATAACATAAAAGGTACCAGAAACTCTGAATCAATGTATTTGAAGTTGACAAATCAGCAATTAAAATAAACAGAAACTAGTTTTAAACCAGCCAATTTAATGGCATCAGTTTACATATGTTTGCTTTTCTGTGGAATAGCAAGGAGGGAAATCTCAAGGAACAGGAAAAATGGGGAGCAAGTTACAAGAGAGCCAAAAAGGCTTCAGCATCATCATTAAGATAAGTGACATGGACTCATAAGTCAACCATACATTATAATGACACAGTGAAAAAAGGTGATAAAGACAATTGCTTATAGATTTAATTCCGACTCCTTTAACAAAGATCACTATTTCACTAAATTTTCACCATTCAGAAAGTCCAGTGAATTACATAGGCAGAAGCAAGATATATAGGAAACTCTGGATGCTATAAATTACTAATGTAAAAAGTGCTAGAAACTATATACAATCAAGCAATATGAGGTAAAAGAATAGAGCATGTCTGGAAGAATTTTTGTTTTCAAAATATCATATACATTTGCATAGCAATAACTAAAATTAAGCACTATAGCTTTCCACACCTTGTTCACCTTATTTAAGATTTTTTGTCAAACAAATTATATAAAGTCCAGTTTATGTAATCATACAATATACTACAAAATAACTTATTAATTTTCTTAAAAAAAGGGTTGTCCTGAGAACAGTTTTATCAAAAACTGACTTCAGCAATGGCTGACAAACAAGTGTAAACAAAACAGAAAACTGCTGTGAGCATAGAAGACAAGTTTCCTATTTTATTCTTTACCCAAAATCTATCCACCTTTATACATGTTTGCAGATTTAACCGGAGATCACTGCCGACAACTTTGGTAGCCAAAAAACTTGTGGGATAAATATCCTAAGCAGATGGTTCAAAAGGGAGTTGAACGTTTGAGCTCTTGGCAAAAACCAAAGGCCTTAACCACTACAGCAACCATTTGGGCTATAAAACGCAAGTATTTTGACAAGTTCATACACATAGAAACAACATACCTTTGACAGCTAATTCAGAGCCTAAAAACTATGTCCAAAGTTTGTTCTTTATGGTACAGAGTAAATGTATAAGTTACTTAATGGCTGCGACTGGCTGAGCTAGTATTTCAAGAAATTAAAAGCTTAACATGATAATACTTACAAGAAACATACAAGTCACCAGAGAAGTTGGCATCAAAAGCCTCTGAAGACAATTTATTACACATATAGTTTTAACTTTTACTATGCAAGCAAGTATTGGTAAGAATTAATATTGTGTAACAACTAGTGCTTCCAAAATAATTTGCAATAATCATACTTGAAGGCCTGTTTGGAGGCTCAGATGAAATCTGAAACTTCTGATAATTCCAAAGAATTTCAGAAATTTCAGCTGGCCGCAACCATCTATGCTGGGCTTCCATTTGTAATTGCTGAATATCTGCAAATCAAATGCCAAACTCAATCAACTGAAAAAAGTATTCCCAGGAAAAATATTATGAATGGACAAGAAGGAAAATGTGGGTCCATGTAGTCAGAAGGAACATGCTGGAAACATTGCTTAGTTATCACTGTGAGAACATTATGTCAGAACATTGAGAGATCAAGTTAGGAAAACATCAGAGGGAAAGTAAACTCCCCAAAACTGTCATTGACTTTCTCATAGTGTCAGCAAACTCAAAAAATTCTCAAATACATATATATAAAATACGCAAAAGGATAGGGACCGTGTTCATGACTTAAAACAGCTTATTTTACTCATATGTTTGGACCACGTCTAGGCTCAAATCAACCACAACTTACTAATAAGAGATAATAGAAAAAGTGATATCCCCAGTTATGCATAATTCAGTCTCTAGCAACCATCTTCACTAGTAGAAGATACACTGCATGTGCAACAAAAACTTGCAATGATCACCTTAGGACATTTTTCACTCTCTCCAAATATAATCATTGTCCCAATACATTGCCATTGGGACTCTCATAGTGGATTTTAATTCTTGTTTTATAATTTATGCCTGGAAATTTCAAGACCTGATTAGAAACGGGTAGATAAACCTGGGCACGGAACGATCTGAACCTCTAACCTCTTCATAGGAAACCAAACATCAAACCACAAAATCCATCTGAAAACACTAATTTGTTATAAGTCAAGTTCGCCAATACGCAAACAGTAATACTGCGACTTGACGCAATGATTCTATGACAACCATACAAATTCTTCCCAGATCTATCTAAGACTAGATATTCAGCAAATAGTGGAATAAACATCTCAAGCTCTTAGCATGAACTCACTTGTTCTTCAAAATTGATCTAGCAAAATTCGCACTCCATTACCATTAAAAATAAATAAAAATACAATAACTTGATTGGTTATTAATCTTTAAAAGAAAAAAGATAAACATTTCGTATATTTAAATTAATTTCATTTTCACAGCAATAATAAGAAAACCTACAGTATTGATTCAATAGTCAATCAAATCGAAAGAAAGGAGAAATTTAACAGAAAAAATGAAAAGAAGAAAAGTGAAAGAGCTGACCTAAGCGAGGACCGGAGGCGTAAGATCCACGATTCGCCATTGGAATGGAGGTGAATCAGAGCGAGGAAGAAAGAAGGGAAAATTCAAAATTTTGACTGATTTGATTTGCTTGATTGTGTAAAAATTGGGGTTGGAGTCAGCGTTTTTGAATGTGAAAGAGAGTGAGGTTTCTGAGGAAAACGGGAAAGTCCAAGGAAAGTTCAGGTCGTTTTTATTGGACTAATTATTATTGGACATCTGGGGGACCTTTATATCCAAAAGCTCTTCTCACAAGGACCGATCCGACTGAGTCGATTCAAATTTAATTAAAAGGCTGTAAAATTTTAAATTCTTAACTAAATAGTCTTATTATTGATTAGCAGTAATTAAATATGATTATTGTTTAATTAGGATTAATAAAATAATATATAATCTTTTAAAAATTATATTATATCTCTAAAAATCTAAAATTATTGCAAATAAACCTAAACCCAAAACAAATTCATTTGCCTCCTCCCTCCCGCCATTAACGCATCAGAACTACCCTCCCCTGGTTGCTGTTTCTTATTAGCTTTGTTTACATTTTCTTCTTCCTGTGCCATTAATGTTAGTAAATCGATGGGGTAAACGCAGCGAAAAACGAAAATATTTCTCATCGATTACTCTGATAAGCCCAAAATCAGAGTCTTATATATATATGTATACACACACAAACTTTACATGCTTAAATTAAAATAACATAAATCAAACCAAAGATCGGATCATACCAACGTTTGGAGGCTCCGTCAATATCTATGAACGCGATCTCGCTACCGATTCAAGTATAAGATCGAACTCACGTTGTCTACACGAAGACAGTATAACAAAGACTAGAACCAATCTCTAGCTTTAAGAATTTAAGGTTTGGAAGGGTGAAGTAAAGAAGAAAGGAAGAGAGAAAAATTCTCTTTAATTTTTCACACTCACGGCCAAAATGAAGACTTGTGTAAAAACATATTCATTGCTTTCTTTATGTAGAAAAGTCAAATATCCATTCCACCCCAAAGTTTAGCAATAACCCACTTAGGTGGAATTCCCATAGGTCCCAATTTAATTATTTTGTTAAATATTAATATTAACTTCAATAATTAAATTCATAATTTTGCTACATAACTCCAATAATAAAATTGGACACAAGCAACAACCTTAGTGAATTTAATTACACAACAAAATTACCAATATGCCCTTTCATCCAAAAGACGAAAATACCCTTCCATAGTTAACCATCCTTAAGTTGTCTTCTTAGTGTGTGACTTGTAGGCTTCTCATAATACCGGTAGTGAGTAGTATTGCGATTGACACCAATAAATCATCTCACACTACACACAGACCAAGATTGGCCCCTAGCAAGGTATCATGGTCACCCAATAGATTCGAATTCAGCGAAATATCTATCTGTCAATGATATTGTTATTGTATAATTAAATCCTTTCATCATCTGTTATCTCACTGAGACAGAGGTATAGAAATAGTGTCAACCTTAGTTACTCTCGATATGTTTGTATTTAGTTACTGGACAAATGACTGGAATAATAAATTGGATTAGGCGACAACTCAATCCTACTGTGGCCACAACTTTAGTGTCATTACCATATATTGAATTGCACCATGAGATCACTTCTCCCATACCCGGGAGTGATGAATCCTTTCTCGATCCACCATAATCTCGATACACTCCTCGATATAGCCAATCACTACCGTATTGATAGCTCTAAATAGAACTACGTTGGGCTAGTGTCAAACTACACTAATCAGTGCACAAGGCGCTCCGGTGATCTCAAGTTTAAAGATCACATGTACCACCATTCGTTAGAGGATTTATTCCACAAACACTAGGGTTACCATCTATATGGAATCCTCTAGTGGGTCAGTCTAGTGAACTTGCCTATAGTAAGCACCCATGCATAGCACCAAGTTATCGGCAAACAACCTTAACAAGTGAGATCAGTCACTACCTTTCGACAGGGTCGCTCAACACTATGATAGTCTTACCGTATTATCTATGTCCTTGGTCAGAATAATACTAGGGCTATAGACATTTCTAGAATGGCCACCATATGTGCTCATAAGGTTCTCACTATCAAGATTTGAAACACTTGATACCCTCGTCACGGTTCTACCATTCGAAGGACATATATCAATACATATAGATATGTTTTACACAATATAGAATAAAATGTCCTTTATTGATCAATGAACATCATTACAAAGGGTCAATTCTACAATAATTGATTGGCTCTAGGGCAATTACTCTAACAATTAACACCTTCTTCTTCCGCCGTCATTAACATCTTCTTGCCAAAGTTCCGTCTCCTCCTCCTTTTGACATTTCATCCAGGTATGTGTATCTCCTACTTGCATTTTATATATCAATTTACAAAGATTTAATGATGGATTGGGTTTTGGTTATGATTTTGATTTAGTTGTTTAGGTTGTTGGGTTATGTTTGATGTAATGCAAATTGAAATGAGTGAAATTTGTTGATTATTTTCTTGCATTGTCGGTGGCTAGGGGTGGTAGCACTGATTATAGGTGGAGATGATTGAAAATATGTTCTGAATCTGGAATATCGCTTAAGCGATCTGGTATGTCTAGTGTAATGCAGTAGATCACTTAAGCGATCAGGTATATGGCATAAGATCACCTAAGCGATCTGCTATAAGTTTGGTATATCGTAGCAGATCGTTTAAGCGATTAGGTATATGGTAGAAGATCACTTAAGCGATCAGACTTATTTATACTAGATCGCTTAAGCGATATACTAGATCGCTTAGATCACTTAAGCAACTTTATAAATGCTATTTAAAATCTGTCAACCCTTAATATATTGGTTAATATTTTTTTTTTCTTGCATTATAGGTAATTGGCTATTATTAGGTGTTGAATATTTTGGTGAATGGATGGAGGAAGAAAGTTGCTGGAAGTGGATTGGGAAGAGCAAATAAGTTATACCAATTGCTATGAGCATAGAGGTTAGTTTTGATGAGTTGATTGATAAAATAATTAGAATAGGTGATTTGAGTTGCTCACCTGACGTATGTTTTAAGTAAAGTTCTTGAACATTTTAAGGTACCCCCTGCTGTATTAAAGTCGAATGAAGGTGTAAAGTTATATATGCTTGATGTGGGCGATAATGGTTCGAGATCGATTTTAAGGGTTTCTTTTGTAGATAAACCATTGGCAGTTGGTTCAAAGGAAGAGGATAACGAGGAAGTTGGTGAAGAGAATGCTGGTTTTAATTTTAACTATGAGGGCATTGATTTCTTTGTTGAAAAATCAAGAGTAGACGGTGATTTGGGTGGTAAGGAGGGCATTCTATAAGAGGTTGGTCATGTGGGGTAGAATGAAAATGTGGATGAGGAGGACCCCGTACATGTTCCTGCAGATGTAGAGATTCCTATAAATACATATTATGGATGAGTAGGCAAATCAGTACTTGCTGTGTTGGTTTGCCAATTGGGTGGAGGTGTTGTAACGACTCCATTCTCATAAAAATATGCATAGTAAAAGTACATGTAAAATAACATTAAAAGTTGGGCCCAAAATTTTCTCTTATTAAACATATGTATTCTTTATACAAATATATACAAGATTTGTATCATATGCAAAACTATCAAAATAGGGTGGACAGTGTAGCCATTTCTCTTCGTGTGCCGATGTCCATCCGACTGTGTCCTCATCTGGAACTTGCAAAAACATAGGGAACAACAGGATGAGCACAAAACAATGCTCAGTAAGTAAACCCTCTACTCAATTATCCCCGTAACTCTCTCTCTAATTCTTTCCCTATAATTTTTATTGACTCTTTCTCTTATACAACTCTCTGTTTTCTCTTTCTCATAACTCTTTTCTACTAACTCTCTTTTCTAGTAAGTCACAGCCCCATCTGACCGGAGACACGGTTGGGACTCGCTCCCACTCCCTGTGACTTCTACTCATTCTAGCCGATCGGACTTGGTTATGCATGGATTCGGAACCTTTGGCCATGTGAGTTCATAGAATCTCTCGGGTAAACTCGGGTATAGCCCTCATCCGCATGTACTCTACGGGCTACACCACTTCTCTCTCTGATACTCATCCCGCTCTCTCTATGCGGCGTACTTGCAGGAATACTCTACCCGTACTCACAGGTTCCCCATCGCACAACCTACTCTATTCTTTTTTTTAGCACTACTCTAGCTTTTACTCTAAAGTGCTTATTCTCTCTTTCTCTTTACTCTTAGAGTAGTCTAAACTCAAAAGTCTCTACTCTTTCTCTACTCTCTTTTCTAGTGCATAAATAATGCATAGTTAATGCACATAAATGACTCATACTCATTAATGCATTTATGAAATGCAATTATGCCATGTAGCAAAAATTAAGGCTTTCTACTCTTACTTATGCTTCTCTTGAGCATTTCATCATACAACTCATGTGCATATAAAACTCTACTCTAACTCTAACTTTTCTCTTTTCTTTAATCATCCAAATGGGAGGAAACTCCCTCACAAACTCTAAATTTCCTGTCAAAAGAAAAAACACTTCCATAAGCTTGCTCAAAACTTCCTCCAACTTCAATCAAACTCAACCCAACATCAAGCAAATAAAACACTTCTCATAACTCAATTTATGTGTATTACTCATTCATAACTACTAATCTCATTCATTTCATTTCAACAAACCTAATGAATACACATATACATATATAACTCTACTCAAAAGAGTTCTTAAATCTCAACTTAGGTTGAATTTACTTACCTTATGAGGAAATAGCTTCTTTAACACTTCTCCTTTCCTTTGGGAGCTAGCCTTCTCTCTACAACTTTAACCAACAACAACATGAGACTCTAATCAAAACATAATAAAACTCTCATCTAAAGCAAGAATCCTTACCTTAGGATGCTTTAGATTAAAACCCTACTAAAAGTTACTCAAAAAGCTCTTGGAAATCCTTGGAAGATTGAAGGAATTTGACAGAAATTTGGAGAATGGAGGAGGCGGTGGAATGGGAAAATGAAAAGTTCTCAAAGACTAAACCCCCTTAAATATCTCCTAACAAACTCATTCTTCCCATTTTGCCCTTGCTCTTTCTTGGAAATTCCATCCATATCCTTTGATTCCTTACAAACACACCCCCATACTAACAAATTCTCCATGAAATTTCCTTACATTCCCCACTTTTCCTACTAATTAGGGGTAAAATGGTC